TTTGTGGGGGGGGGGGGGGGTTTCCGTGAGAATACATTTTTTTTAAGTAGTCCACGCAGCCAAAGGAAACCATCTTCACGGTTGCTTAATCGGGGGTCCGATAACAACGTCTTCACGTAAAATGCGTGACGCCTAGTATCAACTATCACACGCACAAAAGGTGTAAGTTGTCTACCAGCCCATAGTGTGTGACCTTGTCGCTTGATAACCAGTGCTAACATTCCATGGAATTATTTCCCGGAAAATTGACCGCCTTAACAAGAAAATGACATTACACACAACTGAATCTCCCTCCTCCCCCCTCCCCGCCCCCCAAGAGCCAGGGTTCTCTTTGTTCTGCCACTGCAGAGGTCAAGTCAAGTTTGTAGGGATTCAAGGTGGTCCCGGAACCAATTCGATACACGCAGAATAGCCACAAATACGAACTGCTCTCTAACATTGACGTAAAACATGAAACATTTATAAAATAATAACTACTGGTGATTTTCCGGGTACAGTTATTAATTAGATCGGGCAAATGAAAAAGAAATCTGTGACAGAAATTTTTTTACGCTGTTTACACATTTCTCGTGCAATTCTTTCCGGTGGGAAAGCGGTTAAAGTATCATAAATGACATATTTCTATTAGATAATAAATTAAACGTAACTTGCTTCAAAGAAATCGAAATAATTTTACTGGAAAAAGGTCAATTAGAGACGTTTTCATTGCAATAATTATAGCCAATAAAAATTCCTGACACGCACAAAAAAAAAGAATAAATGTGTGGAGTTCTTCTATACGTCAACTTAAACTTTAGTTAATTGCCTCCAGTCTAACGAAGGATACAATACTTTAAATCAAGCGATCCACATAGAATTCAAATGGCGAATTCTTTTATGTTGCCAGATTAACATTAATACAAGACAGCAAATAATATATTGAACGAATAAAATGATCAAAAAATAATAACGTGTTTTAGCCTATGAAAATAACTTGATTGTCACTGGAATCTGTCCTTGATCAATTTCGATGAGTGATATCGGATACAGAAGAATCTTTATGAACGATTATTTTAATTCTTATATAGAAACAAATTTTGAAGCCAATGAATTAATTTCTGTTAACCATTTGCAGCCGAAACTCGTCTGAATATTATATAAGAATTCAGTCCGTACCGCGAAGAAAACACTACACTTCACCATTACAAAGATCAACTGGTTAACGCTGTTTATTCCGAGGGGTCATACGAAACCCGTGACACAAAACGTAGAATTACTACTTGTTAAGGCAGGTGGTACATATAGTTACCACTGGGCTTTATTCACAACCCGGCAACGAACTGAAAAACACACATGCATTTACTGAAGCCGCATGCCGATGCGAGGGAAAGTTGCAATTTCTCACATCTCGATTTCTGTCGTTTTGTCATCACTCCCAACAAACACGCTGCACAATCTTGTTACATAATTTCCACTTCTCACCACTCTTGTCAAACTAACATATTTTCCTTTGAAAACTACGTGGGGACTCTTGGCATGGTGAATAAACTTGGGAATTCCTGAACAGCTGGTTCAAAATCAACACACCAAACACTTTTTAATACTATGATGGACCGGAATCTTCAATCAATACAGGCCTGAAGATTCTGATATAAAACACACAATTTTCACTTTCAATTTTTAAACGAGAGCAAACCATCACACATAATACCTGCGCTAATTTAAAACTGTAGAACGTTCCTGCGCTGTGCGTCCGACACTGCACGAAATGCACTACGTTTTTACGAAAGTGAAAGGTTAAAATTAAAAAGCATTTGTACTTACTGCTTTCTTGATCTTCTGTTTCACAGAGCTCGTCGTCCGATTCTGTGCCGGAATCGTGATCTTCGTCTCCCTAAAAGTTGAAAAGAGAGAACACAAAATCCTTGTCAGCCATCTTTAAACTGTTGGCACTCATTCAAATCACAATTGCAAAGTCAATATGGAAACTAGCAGAGAAATTGCCTGCGCAAGTCGAGCCAGGAGTTTAATTTCACTTTATGGCTGCTTGCCGTAAGCACTGACAGCTCAGTGAATTCAGAAAAGCACGCAGTAGCACACAGCCCTTTGTTCTACATTCCACCTCGACAAGGCAGCCATGTTATTAAGCTGTGTCTGCCAGCCAGCAAGGCCCCTGGTATGACCTTCAAGAAAGGTGACCGGGAAAAAATGATAATTTTATCACATAAACCTAGCAGCCTACCTTATCCTGCTGCAGTTGGTCTTCATTCAAAGAATGTGTCCTAAATTTGTTTGTGAGAAACTTAAGCATATTTCTCCGCCGGGGTCAGAACAGAACAGCGTCCGGTCTCGACTAGGAAGTTTACAAAACACAGGATTCGCTGCAAACTACAGTTTTTTTACTTGGTTTCCCCCAGTGGAATAAAAACCGTCACACACTCACGATGCCTACATTTGTTTGATGGGGGAGAACAATATAACGTCCGTCATTCCTGGGCTACCGATCTCAATTGTAAGCTAGCAGCGTGTGAACTGCGACTGATCGCTAGGCCGGCACAGTATACACTACTCCACCGCCCCCATACTCTTACTACGGCCACTAAGCGCCTGCCCGAAAGCCGTACACGAGTACGGTAGTCAGCTGAACTGGAGTGGGTGGAAGAGTCTACTTCGGCACTCAGAGAGGGGTGTCCCGCAGATAAACCACTATATTTCTAACCCAGTTACCGACGCTTTCTGCATGAATCTTACCTCTTCACCAAAACGTTTTTCTTACAGTGTTCTAATTATGATACCTCTTAATTGTTAATACCAATTAACAGAGGTACCCCATTTCAACTACTTTGTTCTGAAACATCAGTGCCCCCTACTGCTCATTGATGAAAATAAACTCTTCCACGCGGAGTAAGCCCGGCCGCTCTGTGATTGGCTGTCGTCAAAGCTATGTCCCTAGTGGTGGGGGCAGAGGGGAAAGTATGTAGAGGGGGACAGTTTGCAGAGAACCCACCATGACTTGTGAATGAAAACGAGTGTGTGTTCTTGTTCCTTGAAGACGGTAGGCCAACGCGACATTTTCGTACAATCAATTCCAAGTTTCATCTATTCAATCACAATTTCCATCGTGAGATAATGACTGATAAGCTCAGCGCGTGACCAGAATATGAAGGATGTCCACTTAAGGTTTTATTAACGCAGCCTGGAGGCAAAGGGACTGATTTCTGCAGCTATCGTGCCCAATTTTTCAACGGGACCTACAACGAACTCCGTGGAGCATGATCCTAATTGCGAAGCCAATAGCCGCTCAGTCAGTCAAATTACACGAGTCTCTTTACTCAACCACGTCAATCTGGAAGGCGGCTGGTTGTGGGAGACATTGACCGACGTTTCCACAAGATACATTTTAATATTATCCTCCTATCTACGCCTCGGTCTTCCGAGTGGTCTGTTCCCTGCAGGGTTTTCACCCTAATGCAAATTACAAATTACAATTTTTTTTTCTCTCATAGGTCCAAATATTCTCCTCGATGCCCTGTCCTCAAAAACTCTCGGTTTTTTCCCCTGAGGATGACACGAAATTTCACACTCACGTAAAACAATAGGCAATATCGTAATTTCGTGTATTTTAATCTCTACGTTTTTAAGGAACGGTACTCTCGAGACAAAATATTTTAAACAGGATAGTTCTAAGCTATATTTTAAAGTCCTCCGCTCTTAACTTCTTTCTGGATGTAATTTTGAAATGTTACAACCCTTCCCAGATGTTTGTGCTGTGTCACAATATCGAAGGATTTATTAGATAATATTTTTTTTTTTTTTACTTAGCTTAAAATATTCTCTGTACGACAAAAGAACAAACCTCTGATAGCGGAAAGCGCCGAAATAGAAGAAAGGATGTAGTTTATCATCCGACAGTATTAGGTAAAGTGATAGATAGTTTCCTGCGTTAACATTTTACGCTACATAAAACTGAAATTTATAATCACAATTATAACTCCGGTTGACTGCAAGCCCACACCAAGTCTGTGCTCTGTTCATCCCATCACGAATCGCCTGCTTTGAATAATCAACTTTTACGACTAGCAAAAAGGCATGCAATGGTCAGAGTATTTAAATAAAAACAGGTCGGTTCGTACATGTCAACTGTATTTTCCCTTTAGAGTACCAGCCACCCAGATGTGGTCAGCGAACGTAAACCCCGATAACACAATTAGAGAGTGGTCATATGCAAGTACGTTGCGTGTCATGACCAGAATTATAACACTCGTCCACACTTCGGCACGTTTCGGGAATAATAATGACACTGAATTCTGATACATACGTACCTCATTTACCTTCCTCCCAACACCTTTTAAAACGAGCTTTTTTAAAACGAAAAATATTTCTACTTCTGTTTTCCAAGGCAAAAAACATTATTTTCAGAAAGATTCGCTTGACGCTGGTAAAACATCCATACTTTTTACAATAGATTTAGTTTCTAGGATCCCTTCCATCTGCAATACTAACTAATTATCCGATTGATTGATTGTTGAATCATTGATTGATTGGTGAGTTTTAGAGTCGAATCAAATATTATGGTTAGCTTTATATGCCACTGTGAATATCTAACTTCTCCTTTCACAATTCAACCAAAACCAAGCTTCAACGACTAGAATTTCAACTAATCCAAATTTAAAATTGGTAATATCACTGGGCATCGGATGTAATGTTTATATCGTCAAGACAAACGAGCCAGATCATCGTTTCTTAAAACTGGCACATGACAGCATAACATGAATGTGGTTCAGCCGTACAAGCATGGGGTTACAATCCGACGTTTCGGAGACTGTCTCCATTATCAGGACAGAGACTTGTCTTCCGCGGAATATAGATCAGGAAGTAAAATGGTATATTAACAGTATTTCGTTTGTGAGTTTCCCACGGAATTTAACGTATTGATGTGCCAAAAAGCTGTAGATCTTGTCCAGTAATCTATCACACACACACAGACAGATCAACAGAACAATTTCGATTACCAAGTGCGAACGCGAAGAGAGGAATTAGCCTGCAATCCTTCATTAGAACAAATTTGGTGCCACCCCTTTGAGCTATGTGCTCTTGTTCTCAGTGAATAATAAATCAAAGCTACCGTTTAAATCCTATTAATTTTGCAACTCGCATCCTCATCTCTCTAAAAGCTTAAATGACGAACGGTTCATGCAGTAATAATTATCTGGTTTGCTAGTCACTGAAGACCGAGGGGCAAAGTAAAATAATCCCCACCCCCTCCCCCAGAGCCACTCCTATATACAGCAGCAGCAGCGCCAATGAACTTGTAGTTCTAGAATGATCCACTGACTGCAGCACCTTCCAGTCCCGAAAGGGAAACCATAGATAATTGTAGTGGCACGGTTATTAGAATTACACCCTGGTCACGACGATAAAGCTGATACCTGCAGAAGTTACGTGAACCGTCGGCTCCAGAAGCCAATAGCTACTAAGCTAGAGAATAAACTATGGAACCAAAAGGTTTTTTTATAAGAAATCCAAATGAATCCGATTCACACCTCTCTAATAAGATTCTTCCATGTAATCCATGTTCTTCCTTCCACATTTATGTGCAAATTTAAGGATGTGTGAAACTTTCAACGTCTGTAAGGAATTATTTAATCAATATTCTATATTGTAGCCCCTCAGTAAAACATCTGCTTGGATCTGAATGGTTTAGTTACCATCAACCCAAGTTTTCTGTCTGGATAATTGCCAAGACATTAAGTCAAAATATAAGCCTACTCCTATATAAAAATAAACTAAATGCTACACACATTTTATTCATTAGATGCATGAGAAATAAACTTTGTTTGTCTACCTATGGAACAAAACAAGTCACATATTTTTTGCAATAAACTGTGATTTTTAATTACATCTTTAATTTGTTTAAGAACTTCTAGCCCTCCCTGTACTTAAAGCTGGTCAGTCTTATGGCAGTTCAGTAATTCCTAACATCCATATAAACTTCTTTATGTAAGTTACGGAAACATAAAAAAATCGCTCATCAATGATTAATATTGCGGCAGTTTCGATTCAACATTCACACTGAAAGCCACTCAAAACTTTTAAAAACAGAAGAAGCAGGAAGGTAGAAGAACATTTTATTTACTAAATCAGAGTACATGGAATATCTAATGACAATAAAATACAATACCCATTTTAGTACAGTACTTTCTTACAAAACAAATTATGCAGAGCACATAACAAACAGAAGCTAACTATATTTTATTGTAGCTTTAAACGATAAACGCCGCCACGGTGGTCTAGCGGTTAGAACGCTGGCCTTGTAATCCTGGGGTCTCGGGTTCGATTCCCGGCGGTGCCAGAATTTATAACTTGTGTTGGGCAAGGCCGTGGTCTAGGCAACACGGAGTTTTCCTCCGGGGGCTTCCCCGGTTTCTCCGAGGCATCCATTCACACACAGAAGAAGGCAATGGCAAACCACTTCTGGATCATCTGCCAAGAACGTATATGAATAGGTCCCAGTCCGAGAAAAGGATGGAAGGATCCTGTTCATAACATGTCGCCAACCTCCTGCAGAGGAGACGGCGTAATAAAGAAGAATGGCCTTAAAATCGAGTTGCTTGTGGTATAAAGTTTAAATTAAAAATATAAAATTGCTTTCAGTCAAAATTATCACTTATGAAAACACCTCATACAAGCGAACGTCACCCAAATGGATCCATCCGGATATTTTGCATCGACTTTAAATATGTTTCTACATTTAAATTTAAATTAAATGCAAAGAAGGAAAGAAATAATGGCATGTCAAAAGATTATGTTTCACAACAAACATGAACATGATTAATGATATTAATACTGAATAATACACAGTACTACAGACTGCAAAGAAATAAAAACAAAATCCAAACCGTACAGTAACGAAACTCGTCTTAGAATTTCAGCCATACTCCCTGTAAAATTTGTAGCTTCTTGATTTTCTGTAATTATTTTCTGCGCGTTTATGTTCACTTCATTAACACCGAGCCCTTACAAAAACCCACCGCTCTTTTACCAGCCCATGAATCAGAAATATCCGAGAACCAGCACGTCGTTCAATCCATACCTTTCTTGTTCATTAACGACGGCGAAGTCCTTCATTTGAAACAATTAAATTATATCTGGTCCCACTAACCAAATTTGACTTGACTCCTGTATTAATCAACGTAATAACAGAAACAGATCAACGTTCATTTGTACCAACTCAGAACTATCTATATTGTGAAGACAACGCAGACACCCAGTAACTTAATGCAGAATGAGGCTGAAATCCTCGTCCTTGACGTTCAGCTTCTTTATGGAATTCTCTGAAAAACACAAAAATAGTACCAGCATTACAAAGAGCCACATTAGTCCACTTTTTTTGTCTCTTTCACGCAGAAGTGGTTTTTCATTGCCTTCTTCTGTGTGTATGGAGAAAGTGGGGAAGCCCCCGGAGGAAAACTCCGTGTTGCCTAGACCGGCCTTGCCCAACACAAGTTATAAATTCGGGCACCGCCGGGAATCGAACCCGAGACCCCCAGGATTACAAGGCCAGCGTTCTAACCGCTAGACCACCGTGGCGGCAGTCCGAGAAAAGGATGGAAGGATCCTGTTCATAACATGTCGCCAACCTCCTGCAGAGGAGACGGCGTAATAAAGAAGAATGGCCTTAAAATCGAGTTGCTTGTGGTATAAAGTTTAAATTAAAAATATAAAATTGCTTTCAGTCAAAATTATCACTTATGAAAACACCTCATACAAGCGAACGTCACCCAAATGGATCCATCCGGATATTTTGCATCGACTTTAAATATGTTTCTACATTTAAATTTAAATTAAATGCAAAGAAGGAAAGAAATAATGGCATGTCAAAAGATTATGTTTCACAACAAACATGAACATGATTAATGATATTAATACTGAATAATACACAGTACTACAGACTGCAAAGAAATAAAAACAAAATCCAAACCGTACAGTAACGAAACTCGTCTTAGAATTTCAGCCATACTCCCTGTAAAATTTGTAGCTTCTTGATTTTCTGTAATTATTTTCTGCGCGTTTATGTTCACTTCATTAACACCGAGCCCTTACAAAAACCCACCGCTCTTTTACCAGCCCATGAATCAGAAATATCCGAGAACCAGCACGTCGTTCAATCCATACCTTTCTTGTTCATTAACGACGGCGAAGTCCTTCATTTGAAACAATTAAATTATATCTGGTCCCACTAACCAAATTTGACTTGACTCCTGTATTAATCAACGTAATAACAGAAACAGATCAACGTTCATTTGTACCAACTCAGAACTATCTATATTGTGAAGACAACGCAGACACCCAGTAACTTAATGCAGAATGAGGCTGAAATCCTCGTCCTTGACGTTCAGCTTCTTTATGGAATTCTCTGAAAAACACAAAAATAGTACCAGCATTACAAAGAGCCACATTAGTCCACTTTTTTTGTCTCTTTCACGCAGAAGTGGTTTTTCATTGCCTTCTTCTGTGTGTATGGAGAAAGTGGGGAAGCCCCCGGAGGAAAACTCCGTGTTGCCTAGACCGGCCTTGCCCAACACAAGTTATAAATTCGGGCACCGCCGGGAATCGAACCCGAGACCCCCAGGATTACAAGGCCAGCGTTCTAACCGCTAGACCACCGTGGCGGCTGCATTTTACTAAAAAAATTAAAATCTGGGCAACACCTTACCGTGCTCTTAAAATATTGCTACTTGTGTGAGAAATACAAATTTGAGGATGTAATGGGTATAGAACATTTTCTAAGCAAATATCTGCTGGTGATTATTTCTGTTTATTTTACCAGTGTCATGTCATTTGTAAGTTCATATTCTATAAATTACGTAAAAACCAGACTGACGCTGACTCTGACAAAGGAAATCGATGCAGGACTCGTGGAAAACATAACGCATACATGGCCGATTTCAAAAAAAATTTAAAATTTTATACTAGATGGCAAAATGTTCCATACAAGGGCCCAAAAAGTAATTTTCAATAAGGCTCTTTGGTTATACAAAGTCAGTAGAATAGTTTTGATGGAAAAAGTTCTTTACGATGGATATTGAAATTCAATTAGCACTCATGACGGTAATTTTAAAAAATCCAAATAAACAACGTAGCATGATGAGTGAACTCAAGGGAGGTGATGATACTTAAATGTAGAAGGGAGCGGAAAGGAATGTGGGCAAAATAAATAAAGAGGGTGAATAATTTAGACACGAAAGATTTTTACATAAACTGTGCGTAATAAACACATTTTAATGTGTGTATAATTTAAGGCGCTGCACTATCAAAAATTGATAATACTTACATATCGCACTCAATATAAGCTCATCCAAATAGTCTGGATCTTGCTTTTTGTAGTTTGTGAGGTTCTTAATTTCCTGCTCAAATTTCTGCAAGTTTCCATCAGTTCTATCAAGGCAAGGAACAATATTCAACTTACTTTGTCTGTAACACACAAACATTTAGCGGTTAGAAGCGGACGGCCGTCCGGTGCCCGTTTACATAAATACTTGACACGTGGAATACGGAATGTTATTTTTTACAGCATGCCAGTTAACACTTAATGTGTTACAAGAAGATGCCAGAATTCTTATGCCGACTCATTTGTAATTTTCTATATAAACAGACCAAAACCCGCTAATCTGTTCTAAGAAATCTTTTCCACAAATTACTTTTTCAAAAATATGTACTCACAGACACAAATCATCTCTCAACAAGCGCAAGTGTTGCGGTACGACATATCTCCTGTACGGCGGCAAATACTTCAAGAAATCCTTTTCTCCAGTGAAACCGTCAATACTGTCAAAGGAAAACACGAATTAGATGTGACGCATATAATGTTACTCTAAAAAATTAAGAAAAATCCTTCTTAATAACTTTAATAATGGTTTTTGTAACATTTTGTGTACAAAAGAGTGAAAAAGTATTTTATACTTATTTTATTGGTGTTATTAATTGACTGAATTAATATATTTAACTTCCAGGGTCACTCGTAAAAGCTTTGAAAAGTGTATATCCCATAAAGAAAACACTGCTCTTACGTACAAGAAAATAAAGTGGAAATTATTTTATGGTACTGTCAGTAGCTCAGGGCGGGGCATGTGGCGCGCATGGATGGGACAAGAGGTGTGCACCAGGTATTGGTCGGGAAGCCTGAGGGGAAGAGACCGCTGGGGAGACCTAAACGTAGATGGGATGATAATGTCAGGCGGGATCTATGGGAGATAGGAGTTGAAGGAGACTGGATTTTGCTGGCCCAGGACAGGGTCTGGTGGAGGGCTTTGGTTAATTCGGTGATGAACCTTTGGGTTCGGTAAGCCATCTAGTTAGTTAGTTAGTTAGTCAGTAGCTCAGACTACACAGTATCAAACCCCCCTTCTTGTATACTTGATAACATGAACTATAAGAAAGAGAAGTGAGAAAAGAAATAAAAGGAAATATATAGTTATTAGAGTCATTTACCGTACAACAAATACATGTTGATACGTATTTCTCTTTACGTCATCTGTTAGCGACTTCAGACCATATAAGAACAGTTCATCTAGCCATGTGGGTTCTCTGTAGCAAACTTTAGAATGACGAAGGAGAGCTTGCTGATGCATGACGGCGACTGAACTCTCAACTACCACAATATTAACTTCATCAGATGATACATGTCTTCGAATCCAGTCTATCTTACTCCGCCCGACTTCTTCGCCAAGAACAGGGTCAAAACAGTCATACACCTGTTGAATGAGGTACATAGTACATTGAAATATCTGGCCGATTAATAGTAAGAGGAAAAATATTTTTGGTATTTGTGGGTTATCGGGACACATCGCTTTAAAAATAGGTTAGGTTAGGTTAGGTTACTTGTCATTTATTGAAATAAAATATAATAACTTTCAAGTATATGTCATTTATCCACACACATTAACCTAACTTAACCTAAGCTAAATAAGTCAAGAGATAAATGGGTCAGGTTACTTCTCCAGAAGCCTTTCAAACCAAAAAGTCACCCTCACCTACCAGTGGCACACATTATTCTCAAAAATGCTGGTAAAAGGGTCATTGAAATACAACAATTTAAAGAAATAACAGTACCAAATTATTTAAAATGTGATTATAAACAATATACTACTATGGCATAAAACTGTAGTCAGCGTAGTTTTAATTTAATTTATTTTATTCATATTTCAATAATTTATTTGGAATATTAATAGTTATAAATAACCAATATAAATACAATTAATTTTAAATCCATTTACTCAATACTAATGACAGTTTAGAAAGAGGAAAGAAAGATGACAGCCCTCTAGAAAGTGCCTGTACCCTCGTCCTCACCTCACATTCTGTCATTTCTTTCAACATCTCTCTCAATGTGATCATCATTTCCATAAAATGTTCACAGTCACGACAATACAGAAGAAGAATTTTTGATTTTCGAGGTAAAGGAGGACATTCTTCCACGTGAAAGTCTGTAAGAGAATAAATGACAAAGTTAGAACTCAATATAATGGCAGGTAGCTGCACACGTTAAAAGTATTCGTATCTCTGCAAACGACATTTAATTAAATAGTTGTTCCATCGCAACTGTAAACTGGAGGCATGTCATAGATATTACAATTATTCAGAAGGAAAGTAATTATAAATTTCCGTCATTCCAACCTGCGGAGAAAATCCTTTCAAATGCGATGCCAGCGTGGAAATATACTTGCATAAAATTCAAACTGATGTGAACATAGTAATTAAGTCATTCTGCATTTATTTGATGCATTTTTTACATTATCTGTTACTCTTTACTGCAATACCACGACAACGTAATTTAACAATATTCTTTTCCACATTAGCATTAATTTAATGATTCACCCACTTGTGAAACTGAATGTTAAGAATTCTCACATATTTCGTGAAGAGATCTGGTTTTCCCCTTCCAGATGACAATTACAACAATGAAACCCACAGCCACCAAGAATAAGAAAACAACTACCAGTATTATGGTGTTGTCAGGTGTCGCTTCTTGTGCTTTTCCAAGTACTGGTTCTTCAGGTACATTAACTAAAACAATAAAGAAACAGAAGATACAATCAATATTTTTAAAAAAAAGTACTTTAAATTGCTTGTCCTGCATATTTACTCAACCATAACCTCTACAATTCTAAGCATTTCATACTCTGATTTCTATCGTCTCTAAATACAGCTCAAAATTGTTCCAACTTCCTTACAACTTGTCACACACAAATTTTAATAAAATATTATATGATTTTAACGAAAGAACCAAAAGTCTAATAAAGATACTTTTATTACTCTGTTATCTATGGTTACACAGTGCCTAGTACTGAATGCTGCAGTTCAACAGTTGGCCCTCCTGCTTCATATTTAGAAGATTCCAGGTACGAATCATGACAGGTGTCATGAAATTCCTATGTTGTTCCAGGTAAATGACAGGATATTAACTTATAACTGGCCATTTATCTTCCTTCAATAATGTTTTCAATTCACAATTAACATTATAACCTAAGCAGTTGAAAAGTATAATTAAATAACGCAATAATCGAAAGTCTATGCACGTTTTGCCAACCGCTTCAGAACAAAATATTTACTTACACTTCTGATACAAACCACGTTTATTGCTGAGAGGATTACAGTACACATAGGGCATAATAACCTGAAAAAGGACAAAACAAAGGTACTGTAAGAAACCATAGTTCGCATCGGAGTATCCAATGCAAGATGACTTCATCTTTACTGTACTGAACACTAACCAAAATTAAATTTCCCTGACAACTTTTAGGTTAGATCACCAGTGCAAGATTTAGTAGTTTCAGAGATTAAATAAGTAGATGTTCAGAAACCATCATTCTGGTATGAGTCTGAAGAACGCATAAAAATGTAATATATTAAAACTACATTCCACTTCATCCCAACTAAAATGAAATTTGGCTATTGGGAATCAAAAGTCAGTATGAGACACGAGCGTCTCGTACTTACATAGTAGCAATAATTTCCAGGAGCAATGTTGTGAATAGTGCATTCTATATTATGACCATGCTGAAACATTAAACATTATGAAACATTATTTGATTATCAGCAGATACAATACTGACATATTCATAAACTTTTAATTACAATTATGTGATAATTACGTTGCTGTACTGACCTCTGTACACTTTATTTCTTCGTTGTGCTTTTTTTCATTCATTTTGCACATAAATGTTTCTTTTGACTGTAAACAGAATGGTAGAAAATGAAGTAATACCAAAAACTAAAAATGGCATAAATCAATTTTAACGTGTTATGGTGATAAAATATCACAGTTAGCATTACTAGGTTTCTGGACCTAGTCCAACATCTAGCGTTCCAAAGAAAGCAACCCAGTGATAGCTCTTTGAAACAGACTCAACTGAGCGGGTGCTCCGAAACTTTCCACCTGACAACAGAACTCCATTCTGAGTAATTTAAAAGTGAAACATCTTTTCCTGTCCAGGAATAACAGAATTAGAATACGGTGACAACGTAAGTTTATTCATATTAACAGCATGGTAAAAGATAACATACGCACTTACATCATAAGTCATTACCCACATGAACCGCTTCAAGTCAGTTTTGTCATCACATGCGAAACTGCCTTCAGGCTTCGTAACTGTTGAATATATGACGTCAAACTTAGAGAAGTTGGTCATTAAAATATCTATTGAATTCCTGGAAAAAAGAACATGGTAAGGAACAAGTAGGCTTTTACTTAACTGAGCTGCATAATAGACAGAAAATGTTTAAAAAAAATAGAAATTTTATAGTAAGGACTATTCTTCTGGAAAATAAATACTGTATGCAAAATTCAGAGTTCTTATAGCAGTGAGTGTGATGGCTGTCTTCTGTGTTGTAGCACCATGTAATTTTCAAGAAGTTTTCTTTTAGGTCCATAATGAAACACGTGAGGCAAAAGTTGAGTGAATTCTGAACTTGATTTTAACACAAAGCCCCAGATTAAAACCACTGGAAAATATTGGGGATACTGGGAACGACCCGTTCTTCAAGTGGCTGAGCACTGAGGGTCCCAACTTTTCGTTGTCTCGATCTATAGACATTCGGTAGGACTCCTTGGACGAGGGATCGGCCCGTCGCAAGGCCTCTACCTGTACACAGGACAGCACAACACAGAGAAACGCAGACAGACATCCATGGCTTGAGTGGGATTCAAACCCACGGTCCCAGCGACCAAGCGGCACAAGGCCCACGCCTCAGACCGCGCGGCCACTGCGGACCCCACCACTGGAAAATACTACATCTTTTGTCTTCATTTAAGAGAAAACCAGTAATTGTATTAAAACAAGACATAGTAAAATAACAAATGTAGAATAAATTTTCAAGATACTTTAACATATGGCAATTTTAGCATAATTATTAACACACAAGTTTTTAAAAAAAGTAGGCATAAATGTACGGCATATGTATCACATGAATTTTTATTTTGTTGAGAAGCAAGAATCACTACTATGAATTACAACCACACCAAAATAAAAAATTACCAAAATCACTGAATGTTAACATGATACCTTTATGCCTCCACAACTTAAGATTAAAGTGTTGTTTCGTAACATGTACTTAACGGTACAGATTTTACACATATGTCAAAATGGTTTACTAGTCATCATCATCATCATCATCATAAAATCAAAATATTTTGTATGAGTTCCATTTTCTTAAAATTTCCAACAATAAATGTCCTATATATCCCAAAAATTCATTACCACAAAAAAATTTCCATACCTTCAACTGTAAGCCAGTAGTACAGTGCACTGAATGGAACTATTTTTATTAAATTATTTATCACATTCTGAAGACAAACTTATTTCAGGTCATGAACGTACTCACCGTTTAACATAATTGGGGGTGATGTAGGTCTCATCACAAGGCGACTCCTCCTTTTTGTAAGTAGTTCTCATGTACTGAATTATGAACTTCCGTACAAGTGTATTATCTACTTCATGAATATAACTCAATCTGTAGCAGCCTTCGTAAACATACTCAAATGTCACATTCTGAATCTAAAACAAAATGTAACAGAAGCAACAAGCTACTTACAATTACACAAACTTATTCACCGCAGAGCATGCAATAACACAAACCATGGAAACAGCTCTAGCACTTATTCTCATCTGGGCATTAATTATAACACAAAGTTCACTTTCTTTTGTCATCAGAACTTCCCTAAGTACTCTTAAGTATGCATGTTAAATGCATCACTTCAGATGCCAACATTCTCACCCCACAGTAATATCAGAGTTTCCGTAAGTCTCAACCTTTTTATGTCTTAATATCCGTGATCTTCATCGTATGGGAACAGAGGACTTATATCTGTGTTCTATAAGCTACGAGACTTTAACTCTGGGGTCCTTCTGTGGCATGCTGCTGCAAAAAAACAGCCAAACTGGACCATGCATAAGCCATGACATATGGCAGATAAAACTCACGTAGAATGCGATTTAAGTGCTTAGGTAACAGTCCATGAATGGTTTCTTTCACTACTTCCAATTAAAAAACCATTCCACAGGAATTTCATCACTCTTCAAATTTATGACGAGCCAAGAATATGGAAAAATTATAAAATTAAAATAAAATATATTTCCAGCAACTGCCTGAAAATTATTATCAATACTATCTTATGTCTTACAACTTACAAGATTGGTAAATATTCTTCTGACAATTTTTAGAATTTTAATTGCAATATCCAATAAGAGTGCATGGAATTTTTAGTGTGTATATCTGTGACAAGATTTGGTTAGGTTATGTTAGTTTAGGTTAGGTTTAGTCGAGTGGTTTGGTTTGGCCAGTTACTTGGTGGTTACTTGCTTCCTTCACTGGTTCATCAGCGGATTATTTAGTCACATTCCGAGTCAGTTAGTAGCCCTAACATGACGTATTTCCTGTAATTTTCCAACTTAATTTGGCCTCCCAGTTTCATTACTGACAAAAGCACACCATTTACACAGTGTGCATATATTCAAAGATACTTACTTTTCCACAACTTTGAACTGTTTCATCATGTGTGATTAAAACAACTCTCTTTGCTGAATGCTCAATGCCTTTGAAAAATTTACTTCTACAATTTGTCTCATTCAAGTTCTCATCCACTTCAAATCTGAATTCATAACTGCTTACATTGCAGGATCTGCTTAGTACGTTGAACTCCGCCACTACTATGCCAGCTTCCAAATCTTTCACATACAACGTGGGATACACCGCACAAAACCCCTTGGCTGCTAAAATTAAGAATGGAATTAATTAACAATTTTATGCCCTTAGTTATTAATCAGTACAAAAAAATTAGGTAATTTTGTACCATTTACACATGCAGAGTCATAACTTTTAAACACAAGACGGAGTCAAATGAAAGTGAGCCCGTGTGATTTTTGAAGGGTGTTTCAGAAACTTCAATCCAAATGTCATTAGTTGCTGCGATGTCACACCCGCTGTATTGTCATAGAGTAAGATCACTCCCTTCATCAAGAGACCTGGATGGGAGGCCCTGGAGTATACTCCCTGTAGTCCATATTCGTCGCCATGTGATACCCATGTGTTTCGAGAACTGAAAAGGCTCTTGATCTGTCAACGTCTTTCGAAAAGGATGCTATCAATAGTCTTGTGAAACAGTGGGATATTCCCTCTACATAAAGTGAAGGGCTCTCCATAAAATCACACAGGCTCACTTTCATTTGACTCACCCCCTCGTATTTTAGCTTTTATTGATTTAGCCTTCTCATGCCAGGTCACATGGAAGACCAACTGCCTGATGCCATCTTGTTCTAATAAGAAGCCCAAGATATTAATTACTCTCAAATTGAAATGTAACTTGTTGAATTTCCTGGGTTACTTTTTATGAGACAAGCGCTATTAATTATTTGCTCACCTGGGCCTTCGTGTGGCTTACAACGTTTCCTTGTGTAATCATCCTGCAATAAAGCAATGAATATTATGATGATTTTGATGACTGTATTACTGCGATCAATCAATGGAACCTCTGTTCGCGTACAGCTCTGACACAGACATAGTTATACACAAGTCTGATATTTCCTTGGCACGTTAAAAATCCACTTCTCATTTACAGACACGTAATAAGGAAATACAGAATCAAGAAGGCAGTGACACTGACGAGACTGAAGGTTCTCGTGGCACTGAAGATGCTGATGTCAGTCTTCTAGAAAGTAAAACTGTGTGGATCAGTGAAGAGATAGATGCAAGTACAAACTCGAAAAATGCGAGTCTCGTAATCACAAACTCAAAATCACATAAATAACGATTCTGTGCATACTACAAATATGTCTGTCTTTCAGAAAGGTGATATTTGAATCACGGCTAACAAAGCCCAGTTCCACATGGCACAAACAAACACCCAAAAGTAGGATCAACATCGATAAGTAAATATGCGTGATACAAACACATTTTATTAAATTAATTTTACCTTGGCATACGCAATAAACACGCATAATCAACATACTCACATTAGGATATTCTGTGGAATCACAATTCATAAATTCATACTGTGGTAAAATCACGACAGACAGATAGAGTGACATCCAAAGTAACATGACTGGAAGAATTTCCTTGTGTCACATACAAACTTGTTCCATTCTGGATGTTCAGACCATACTGGAGCTGCGTATCTGCAACTACGTAAATGCAAAATATAAAACAGGAATCATACGAGAAGCTAGCAGTCACCAAGCTAATCAAGAAATGATCTGCCTTTTATGGAACTAGAAAATTAATTACTGTACACTGGCTTCATCCTCAAGATCCGTCTTCATATTAGCCACGTGACACAACCGTAACAAAACAACATCGAGTAATGCAACTTGCAAAAGCTTTGTAGATAGAATGTTTCATGTTCATACTTTGATCAACATTTCTCTGGGTAAAAAACTGACGAATACAGTGAAGACAAATATCCTTGGGTTTACGGACAACAACTTTTGATACGATATTCGACTATACCTTTCAAATTATCATGCCTACGACAAGTTTTCGTGGAAAGAATTCTGAAAAATGTAAACATCTGTCAAACGTCACTGCAGTAAGAATGCGGACACTCTGCCAGTCTTTATGTTTTTTTCAAAGAGTGTAAACAAATGTAATTATCCTGTTTTTTACGCACTGATAACTGAAACAACCCTCTGCCCGCACACTGTTTCCTACTTCAATTTAAGATGCCCACAAAACATGAAAATCATGGGTGTACAGGGCAAACGAAATTGGCAAGGTACAGCAAAGTTCCCTGGATGTTTAACCACAGCTGAACCCACCGTGCACAACGTACTGGAAACTGCCCGGGGCTAAACCAATCGCAAAGCACGGTGTAGCAAGTGTTTGCAGAATAAAGTTCTTTGCAGTCGTCGACCTACAACGCTGATGGTGACCGCGCGATGTTTTCTTAGCCTGAGATTTGGTCAGATTTTATTTTAGGAAATTCTCACTCGCAGACACCCGCCACTCCCTAACCTGTTTAGATTTTGAAGTACGTAAACAATCATGATGAAAAAATGGTTTCGTACCGGGACCGACGTTTCGAAACGAACTCTGAACAGGGACGTATGGCAGCGTCTTTTTTTAAAAATATTTTTCAGTATAGTAATTCATGCTAAATTATAATGGAAAGACTGTGAGGAGTTGGGGTATCTCAGTGCAGTAACCAGATTAGGGTGGAAGGGTCCCCGAAGGTTAGATAATTTTCTATTCTCTACGACTTCATTTAGTACCGAGGTTAAAAGTAAGCGGAAATATACATCTCCTTTCATAAGCCTTATAGCGTGGTACTTAATTAAGCACCAAGGGCAATGTATAATTTGACGAATCGCCCTGATGACGGAGGCAGTATGACCTCTGAAACGTTGGTAAACATCGACCAGACTACACAACGCAACAACCCAGAAGACAGAAATCTTCATACTCATCGCCCTGATGACGGAGGCAGTATGACCTCTGAAACGTTGGTTAACATCGACCAGACTACACAATGCAACAACTCAGAAGACGGAAATCTTCACCAAGGACAACTTTACAACTAACAGACTCGAAAGTTATAATAGATTTCTAGGCGTGTTACTAATAGGAAAATAGAAAATAATCTTATCTATTAGTTCTGTCGTGTCAGTTCGTTCGTCCCACAACCGATAAAGCCCAAACCACGTTTTTAGGTTGGCTGAAAGTTCTTGTAGAAGACTGCATTAAATTCTGTCAATCCACTTTAATTTTGGTGTTATTCCAGTTCATTTTAAAGGGCGTCTCACGTAAGGACGTAAATTTAATTTTAAACTCTCCTTCTAAACCACTTGGCAGATTTTTATAAACTTTACATGCTTCAGACTTAGCACTGTTATAAAAGAACTGGTGATATAACGTTACATCTTTCACGATACGGTGTTTGCATAAATCTTATAATTACAAGAAAGTCATTAGCATGATGATAATAATACGCTCCTTCGAAAACGCTGTCCAAAATCTTACGATCACTTTACTCGCATTAGAAAAGCACCTTTAAAGCCACCTCAAGAATGCATTTGCCCTGTCTTACGCTGTACGAGAAACTACAACAGCAGCTGACGGCTACCACACTACAAATTACAGAACACTGCCTTTGTGCAGTAAAAATACCACTAAGTACACACAGCCCACCCAAACACCATATATATATTTAGTCCTTGACGTTTTTTTTTAAACAGTGAGCTACTGGATGACTTGATAAATAATTTCAATGATTCTCCAAAGATCCCGGCACAAAATATAGTCCAGTGGCAGACTGCTATAAACACGTTAATGATCATGTGTGAGATATGAGGTTCTCAAGGGGGTGACGATGTTGATGTTGGTCTTTGGGATGTAAGTACTTGCACGTAGATACCAATGTTTCGTAGTAACATACTATCTACCTAAAAATAAATACAATATATTCCTCCGAAACGTTTATATCTATCTACAAATCTGCACGACATTACAACCCAGAAGATTAACGTCGCCTTGGCAGTGTCCTTCAGGTTCTAAAAAAAGGACTGAAGAATGTGTGGCTACCAGAGCGAAATTAGTACGTCGAAGACTTTGCACCATGAAGTCACTTGCTGTTTTGGCTTCGTTTTACTGGGCCTACGATACAAATTTGTTTGTCGTCGTAGAATAAACAACATGATGTACTCATTCACTTCACTAATACTGTCCGCATTACATTACGAGTTCTTCACACAAGGCTCAAAAAGCGAATGTGCGTAAACAACGAATCCCTTCTCTCGCTATTTCATCTCCGAAGCGTCAGAATGAAATTTGTTTGGTGTTTTGGATTCTACGTTGAAAGTTGCCGAACGAATTTAATTTCGGTTCAATATAACAATGGCATTTCAAGAAAATTTGAAAGTGAACTGGAAGAAATACCGATCAGCTGTAATGAAGTTTCTATGATCAATGGCTGACTTTGCTTACCCAGATTCTAAAGAAGTACAGAAATGACAAGCTTTTAAATATTTATGAAAAGAGCAAACTCAAATCAAAGTTGGCATAACAGATTTTAAGAACGAAGGAAAATGGACTGACAGACAAACTACACCAAGGAATAGGAAAAGCCGATATGCAAGGTTAAATTTAACTGAAGACGTAGACCCAACTGGCCAGAGGGCTTAGCCCTTGCAGCGGAAGAGACATCCGTTGGTATAATCCCTGCTTTACGTGAAGATACAATAGACCTCAGAAGGATCTACGACTTTCAGCAGAAAATTTTAGGGGCGTTTGTAATCCTGTGGAACGGCTATTAAAATCACTGTATCGGTCTGTCTGTCTGAACGCATGTAACAAGCGAGAACGGCTGAACGGATTTTAACTAAATCTGACTCTGGGGAGTGTTACTAACATTTGTGGGCTCGTTGCAGTTTTCGTTTACAGCAAACAATAATAACGGATGTTGTATATGACGACTTGAATACAGACGTGAATCGGTGGAAATCCCGAACACTGGAATTCCCAGGTCACTCACAGACTTCAAGGGCCAAATTCACGCGAACACGCGCCATCCTTACATTTCCTTACTCGTTCGGCTTGGTGGATATTTAGGGAAAAGAAATTGGAAATATAATTTACCTGCACACGTATTAATCCGAAGTGTGGTTAAGTTTCCAACAAAGTATTTATATCTGTAATAAATGGACATTTGATGCGGTACTTAACTTCAACTTCCTGATAATTCCATCCTATTTCTTTAATATTATCATTTTACATGCGCTTAGTCTACCAAATGGCCTTCTAATTTCAACTCTTGAGGCATTTCTCATCTTCATATGTAGGTCGGGTTTAATTAAATGCAAAGTAGCAAAGCAAACATTGGAAAGCAAGTGACCTCCGAACACACCTCCTCGCGCCCGCCAATTTGCGTACTGTGATAGCCTACGAATGAGGCCGGCCATTCGAGCTGATTTATGTTCAGTTAAACAAGAAATCGTTGTATAAATACATCAACGAACGGGTTGCAGTAACTGCGACATAATCTGGACGTAGCCAGCTTCCCTAATCCAAGAACTTCGATGGTTTTACTCAGTTTCTCCACTCGACTTGTGGCGCGGAATCTTGAAAAATCAAGCAACATATTTATTTCAAATTCTTGTCCTTCACCTACGCAATGTTTCATCTACTGGCAGTTAAAACGTGTCGTTAAATGGTATAAGTTCGCCTACAAATGTGTACAACATTTAAAAATACATTTAATTTATCTTACAAGGTCTCCATATAATTTAATCTCGTCTAATCAAGAAATTCTCCACCTTCTATGGAACCCAAAAGTTCATTATCGTCTTCCCTGAGGGAGACAATTTAATCCTGACCCCCAACTGGATTGTTGCGCCGTCCGACGTTTCAGATGTGCTTGCTGCATCCAACATTCGGGCGATCATCAAGTAAGTACCTCTAAAACGTCGATCAGACTTTTCGGCGCAACAACACAGAAGACAGCCATCTTTCATACTCACCGACGTGAGAACCAGAAATCTGACATCATGAATATGTTCTTTCCGCAACAGAAAATAAATCACAATACAATAAAATCTTACCTCACAAAATGACTACGTATCCGAAGGCACTGTGGCAAAATAAAAGGTGGAGAACATAGTACAGGAAGCTGAGGTGCACGTCTCGCTCGGCGACTATTGACTGACTGATCGACTCTTCAATCGCCAATCGGCCTTCATTGCAGAGAAACCGCCATGCATGTTGTGATGACGTCACGCGACGTATTTCATTGTCAAATATGACTCAGAAATACTAGAGGGAAAGCAAATTTATGAATGAAAATCGAAAAATAATCCTTCCGCCTCCTCGACTGTCCAATATTTGTTTAGTTTCAAGGACAGAACTGCCAACACCTTTCACTGCATTGTAAGTCTCGGTCTGGCTGCCGGCAATCGTAAGATTTTCCTCAGTTCCTCAAGTATAATCCTGTTAAAGTTCATTCAAATAAGTCATTCCCACCTCCTTCCAAATTCATACTTGTAGTTCAAGTCATCTTAGCATTCAATTTGACGATATTAAGGAACCTACGAAAATGAAGCTATATGGGATTTGTGGTTCTCATGTTGGCAGTCAGTATGAAGACGTCTTCTGAGATGTTTCCATCATCAGGGCAGCAAGCACCTCTGAAACGTCGGTAAACTTCTGCCAGATACACAGCGCAACATCCCAGAAGACAGCCTGACCCTCACATGACTGGACAAATTGCAAATACACAAGACAGAAGAACATAAACTAATTTAAATAAATAACAATTCTGGTTATGGAAATACTTAACAGAATTGAACTTCAATAAATACACTTAAAGAGTCATTTTTTCTGGGATATACTTAGATAAACAAAATGGCATGTTACATTTTAAGACAAATATAGAACCATGTATAGATTGAATATTTATTACTACAAGTGGCAGCCAAAAACAAGACTAAAACAATGCATAGAGAACAAAACTACGTTAACTAATAAGCAAAGAATTAAAGCTTGAAATTAATGATTTAAAAACAGATGTCAACAGATTATAAGTAAGATGAAGAAACAAATGGAACATTACAATATTGCAATACGTACGTTCTCTACGGGCAGCTGCGATGACGGTGGGAGGATGAAAAATAAGACACGAGAATGACACTCGACATGCTACGCAAAGGACAGGACAATATGAACCAACTAGACTGATTCACTTTTATATAATAGCATGAATAAGAGAGCATATTTGAGCATCAATAAAGCATCTGGTAACACGCTAAACTATTTGATTTTGTCCATACCGGAGATACAGGGAACATTTTTCTTCATATTTAGAAAACGTGTGTTGCTGCTACTGGCAATGGTTAAAGATAAAAATTATTTGCATTCAGACAAATATTCTACCCAGCAGGTGTAAACACGTAGCAGGATTCTTTTAATATGTCTAACATAACCTAATCTAGCACAGACCTGGGAACCTGGAATTTATGGCAGGCGTCAATGTAAGAGCACAGAATATTTAAATAACTTATGTCTTGGTAGCTTTTGAACTCAGTTTACATTTTTGACTAAACATGGAATAAATAAAACATTATGGCAGAAACAAAATTTAATAGTTATATTAGTGTTGCTTGAAATAAAAGCATCACGATTTACATTTTATCTCTTCAAATGACCAAAGACCACAATACATATTACAACTTAAATCTAATAAACCTGTCTTTTTTCTGCATAAACCACACATTCTTACTGGAACTGAAATTATTTGTACAACTGACACATTTAACTTGAATACATTAAAGCGTCTTTTCAAAATAAAGGTTTATTCTTATAAAAGGCAAAAATAGTTGCATCATCAACAATTTTTGCAATTATGAAATTTCATATTAATGTAACAAATACCATTACAAAGATATTAAAATATTTACACTTTCCCATAAATAAAACACAAAAGTGTAAAAGTCTGATGAATGCGGAGGAAAAAGGCACTCACTATAAATTCAGACTCCGATATTTTGTCATTATCCGTATATAGTCAGGTAAATGTATATTTGAGGATAATAGTCAAAAGTCAATCACAGGTACTAAAAAAAACAACCTGACCTCAGTCCTTTGTCTTACATCTGTTATAATACAACAATTCTCATAAATACCTATGGATTTCTGCAACGTGGAAATTCAAAACTGAATCAGTGACACCAACATTAAAATTATTCTTTTCCTTTCAATTTCCTTGTGACGGTTGTGATTCACTTTGGGAACTAACCAACAGCGCCGCAGCGAAATCAATTATACCAACTACGATACTCTTTACCCACTGCCTACCTCATCTGCTTCATTTCTTGATCCTATTCTGCGTTTCTCCTCTTTACTTTATTTTCCAACACCTACTATTTTCTCCCATTTACAGTCAGTGCTTCTCCTAGCCTTTCATTCTTCTAAGTCTCCTCAAACTCAAACCCAACATGAAAAATGGACCACTTTGATCCCATATTCACGTTATACCACCAGGAAAGGACCCTGATACCCACTGGATGGGAGGCTGTGTGGGCCACAGAGCGAGTCTGGACGCAGAGGTAAAAGGAAAAATTCTCTGCCCCTGTACGGGATCAAATCCATCATCCAGTCCACAGTCAGTCACTATACTGATCGAGCTCCCCGGCACCACGCCTTAGGCTATTCCTTCTCCTGTGTCTATATAAACTAGCCATTTCCAAAACAACCTCACTTCAGCCCTGAAGATGGAAGCAATATGTTCCTCTGAAATGCAGTTTCTAGGAAGACACACTGACTTTATATGATATGAACAAGCTCAGAAAGTGTATTCCATACTGAAATACACATATCCGCATGAATTATTTGCAACATGCATTTCTTCTTCTTTCTCATCTCTCATTTTTGCCTTTATAGCGTCGGGGTTGATCGCTCGGTCCACCTCCTCCATTTGCAACATGCATTTAGAGGTGAAAATTCACCTTGTCTGACAGTTCCCACTTTGGCCACCAGATCTCAGCAGTACCTCAGTGTCTACCTCACAAACTTCCTCATCAGCCATTTTGTTATCAACGCTCATAGGATATTCAAAATATGTTTTTGGAAGTTTGTGCAGAATAGCACAAACGTCAAATCAAATTTCATCCAAGTTGAATTAACTTGATGGACAGACGGACATGACCAATAATGCGTTCACGCTATGCACTTTGCGCAAATACCGCAAAATAACCAGTGATGTTTCCTACGAGCACCGTGTCAACTGCAAACGGGGTTAAGGCACAAACATGCTTCCTTTTTTCTGTACTACTCTCTTTGGTTCATAAATACAAATGCAAACACAGCCAATTACGTACTCAAAACTACTTTTCCTAAGCTTCTAACTACAGACAGGCTTTCAATTCCTAGAAGAACAAGAAAACTAACTAAAAACAGAAGCTGGAAGTGATATCAGTAGCTACGCTTACCTCTTCCAAACGAGTTAAATAATTTCTTCATTTGATGACTGGCAGTGCTGTATCAAACCCTTACAATGTTCTGGGTTCACTCTTGATTTCAAGCCATATTTCACTGAGAAACAATACTTCAAGCACAATATTAAACAGCGATGTTTAAACAACGTCCAACACGAATCTGTTCCTTTCTTCCACACACAGTTTCGTTCACAACTCGCTTCACTGTCTTTAATACTTTGTACATATAGAGTTCATAAAAGAGATCAAGTCAATGTTGTTACAAATAAATCATATTTTGTCACTTATGTATACAATTTGAACTTCATATTCAGTCTTTTAATAAATCATTTTATATTCTTCTCAAGCAACTTATCCAAATAATCTCTGTTCTGATGCTTAAATATCTGCAGTGTCCTGATGTCTTCCTGCAGTTTTTGTTTGCTGATGTCATTTTCTTCATTTAAGATTAAAACATATTCCAACGAACTCTGCCTGTAACACACAAACATTTGAAACTAAAACACAATATACAGAGACAGAAGTGGTAGTGTACATCAGTGGTCCCCAACGCGGTGCCCGCGGGCGCCATGGCCTTTTTTTGGGTGCCCACGTTGTTACGGAAAGAGGTTATACTGAATAATGAAGGCCGCTCAACCACGAACATCATAAAATCAAAGCGCAGATCTCGACTTACTGACGCCCATCTTGACGATTGTTTGCGAGCAGCAACATCATCCTACACTCCCAAATTTTAAAAACTGGCCGATGAAATGCAGCGCCAAACATCACACTAACTTCCCACTTGAGTAATAATAATTGTACTTGTAAAACTACGTATTTTTGATCGCGTGGTTTCTCGTATCATTAAACGTCGTGTTGTTTTGCATATTATTTGGTGTCCATATCTTATTTGTCCAGAGAAAATAAAATTTGGCTTTGTTAATTGGTTGGTGCCCGCCACGATCTCATAAACTCTCAAATGTGCCCGGAGGCACAAAAAGATTGGGGACCACTGGTGTAGATGAAGCAGTGGTGGTTTCTCAAAGTCTTCAGACGCTTCTGAGCAAGGGAACCATGACAGTCTATACACAACTAAATGAGCGCTAACGCCGTGATAACATAATAGCTGGTTGGGCCTGTTACATTGACATGCGTACCCCATTCTGGGGGATTCAAAAGTTGAAAACAAACTCACAGACACACAAATTCACTGTGCTATATGGTGCTGTACTATAGTAGCAGGAAACTGGAAGACCAACAAGGTAAATCTAATGGTTTCTGACAACGGTGTGTTAAAATAAACATTATTATTATGGATATCATCCACTATCCAAAGTTTATCCAAATACATTTTGGAGACGGCATCCATTTTCATCTTTATGTACAAGGGGTTCGTACACAGTCAGGCCCCCAAAAATGAGCTGGTCTAAATCACTCATCCAGTGATGAGTTGTGTCTGGACAAAATCCAGATGATGGATAATGCCAATAATAACAAGTTGTGTTTATTGAAAGGGGAATGTGTGTGTAAACATGTGCTTAGAGTTCAAAAAGGTTACAGACAACAGAGAAAGCAAAGATGCAAAAGTTAAAACAATTAAAAACACTCAACATTATATGTATACAATCTAATTTACAATTACCAACAGCCATATGACTACGCACACATACAACCAACCAAACAGAAAACACATACAAACACATATTCAATTCACAGCCCGGCAGTCTAGATTGCCATTTACCTGTGTTACATCCTGCAAAGAAAAACATTTTATTGAAGATGCCACATGTTATAAAGCAGAGCAAAAACTTTACCTGCAGTAGAACAGGAGACCGATCTATTATAGCTTTGATCCCCGCTCCGAGTGTGACAAATTTAATAACCGTAACTAGCTATTTAGGACAGCAAACTTCAAAGAAACTTTAAATCTGGCTGTTTTCTGAGCTGTTGCACTGTCTGGTCTGACAAACGTTCACCAACATTTCAGAGGTACTCATGATGGAGGCAGCAAGCACCTCTCACATAAGTAAACTTCTACCCATCTATACAACAGCCCAAAAGATAGCCATCTTCATACTTGATGCTGTGAGAACCCGAAATCTATCTTCTTGATTTATAATCTTCTCCAACGATATAATAATGTCGTATGTCCTTCCTACTGGACAGAAACATGGGGCAGTGGCAACGGAAACTAGAATTATAATTTCGCAGGAACTGAAGTGGACAGTTTCACTGATATTATGTTACGAATATTATTTCTTAAGCATGTTCCAAATATTTATATCTGAGTTTCAATATTTCCATCGCTTACTAATTTCAATTTGTAAAAAAAATGTCTATATTTATGTTTTGCCACCACAATTTAGAATATGAATTAAATTTACAACTAAATTTATTTCTGCTCCTTCCACCTCACCCACAACACACAAGTAAATTTATTAGGCGGCATGCTTTTCTTACGTCAAATGCCTTGCAGTACAAGTTGTGATATGGCTTTTGTGACGGGTTTTCAACCTGAAAGCAAACCACGAGTATGTAAATACTCCAAATTAAGTTGTTATAGTGACAACACAAACAGTTTTCACTCTCTAACTGGAGGCAATAATTCATAACGGGTGCAAGACAAATGCACGCCCCCCTTCATACTGTACAACATACAGTCTCCATTATTATGTGTCCTTGAAACAAAGCACTTAAAGCAAATGCTTAATGAAGGTTTTGTGCACTACCTTTCACCTCCCAAACCAACTCGATCTGCAGAGTTCTTCTTAAGAAACTAATAGTTACACAGCTAGTCAAGAAATCCTCTGCCTTTTTGTAAAACCCAGTAGTACATCACCATGCCCCTACATTAAGCCAGATAAATCCTTCTTTAACATTAATTTTTAGGTATTCTTCATGGTCTAGCATGAGCGAAGAACACCTTACGGGCCTACTCATGTCTGTTTAATTTTTTGTGACACCAGAATCAGAGGTTGAGCTGTGCCTCATCAAAGGGGTATTCTTCAGTTCAGCGAACTCAACTATTACAGAATAAATTGATCTCTTTACAGCATGCGAGCAATTATAGCATACATTTAGTGTTTATATACCACTAATCCATATATACAACTTATAGTATGAACTGCAGTAATAAATCACTGTTACTCACTGGTACAAACTACTCAGTAGTTTCTCCATATTCTGAGGCATGACGTATCTTGCGAACGGCGTTATGTGACACAAATTATCACTTTCTTCTGTGAAACCATGAATACTGGAAACAAACAATTATCAACATAACTTTTTATACATGCACACAGACTAACTAGACAAACTAACAATTCTGGTAGCACTTAAATGTCATTACATAATTCTTGTGTCAGTATTCATGGTACGAATCGCCAGGTGCTCCGCATCTTCCGATTAAGTAACAATGTTGCTACCTTGGTCACCTTACAATGATACACAACTATCCAACTTGTAGTAATGACATTCTCAACACCTCTGAACAGGTCGCCGACTGTTCAGTGTCCACCATCCGAAGCATCCGCAACATTTGTGACCAGTTTCCTCACTTGTCTACTAGCCCATGCCGCATGAGATAGCCAATTTCCCCAATTCATAATATCTCATGCACTGTGAATTCATTTTAGAGCTCCTAAGCCAGTCGAACAATCCCACCAACTGCGTAGGTGAAATGCATGTCAAATGTATGTATTCCTGGTTGTGACCAGTCACTTTATTGCTTGGCCTGTCTTGGCTCATTCTAAAGCGGCCCATCCAGATACGAGTCTGGCTTGCGAGTCCGGCTCGGGTTCCATTGAGCCAAACTCGTTTGTGGGTGGGGTGTCACGAGCCGAGTCTGCTATGCATGCGTGGTGAAATATATCCGAGCCCGGCTAACGAGTCGAGCTCGCCGAGCCAGACTCGCAAGTCAGACTCGTATGTGGATATGCATAATTAAACTGGAATCCCTTTTCAATTTCAAAAGTAAATTACAATTAAAAAGATGTAGTGAAGTGGGCAATAACTCACCGTACAACAAACACTCTCCCATACGTGTTCTTTTGCAGGTCTTCCCTGAGTACTCTCAGCCCATATGAGAAGAGATCATCCAAACATGTGGGCTCTTTATATATAATTTTCATGTGCTGGAAGAGAGCCATCTGGTGCAGTACTGCACACTTACTCTCAATAACCACGACTTTCACTTCCGGAGATGTTGTGTGTGCCGTGACCCAATCTGTTTTATTCTGGAACAAGTTCTCCTCAATAAGGGGGTCAAAACAATCATACACCTATAAAAAAAGAGAAAGAATGTTTTATAAACAATATTTATATAGTCGTACAAAAAGCTCTCCAGTGGCATGGACATTCGGCACTGAAAGTGAAAATAAGGAAGGAGCAAATAATTGCAACGGTGATGATGATGAGGCAGCAAGCGCCTCTAAAGCAATGGTACATGGCTACTAGACTACACAGCACCAGTACCCAGAAGAAAGCCATTTTTATACTCACCACTGTGAAAACCTGAAAAATAAAATTTCATCAGGGTTTGTCAATGGAGAGTATTACGCAGTTTCAATGTCAAGTACCACGAAGGGATAACAACACAGAATGTTAGATCTCATGGGAAAGGATCACTTGGGAAACCAAGGCTTGGATGGAGGATAATATTAAAATGACTTGATATAAGGGTGTGGACTAAATTCAGCTGGCTCAGAGATGAGTCTAATGACAGTTCTTAGAAGCATGATTACAAACCTCTTGGTTCCATAAATGGGGGAATTTCTCATCTAGAAAAGAAACCATAAATCTGTCAAGAAACAAATAACAGAACTGTCAGTAGTTAAGTCTAACTGCAAGTTTTATTACTACGAAACTGCTAATTTACTGTCATGCAAATTCTTCGTTCATGACAAATTCTATGGACATGAGATAAAATCAGTTTGAAATATACATTACATATGTTTTCCCTCGCAAGAAAACACAAACTCTTCAAAAAAGACAGAGAGACAGCGGGGGGAAGATTTCCATGATATCTGGCAGCTAAGACTCTGACTGAAGTGTTGAGAAACCTTTTGACTCTTATCAGCTTTCTTAGAGAAAGTTGTTGTTTTTTTCATGAAGGCAATGAACACTCTTACCTCACATTTTGTAACTTGTTTTAACATCTCTCTAAATGCTGCCATCATGTTCATGAATGGTTCACAGTCACGAGGATAGAGAAGAAGAATTTTTGGTCTAGGTGGGACAGCTTGATTCTTCAGATATTGGTTATGATCTGTAAGAAACAACACAGTACTTCAAAAAGGGAAGTTAAAATTACATCACAGGCACATAATTTATTTGTAAATGGGATGCATCGCTTCATTATCAGCCACTGTATGTTTACTGTGACAACCAGCTAATAACGCAATTACGAGGCAGTACGTTCAAGAAATTTGCATTACAATCCAGACCAGTACTGATCTTTTGCTAATCATGAGAGGCGTATACATTATATTAATCACAACTATTATGTTAGAACTGTAAACTTTATATTTTTAATATATCATATATTCCTCATGATGGCAAGTATATTAAAATGTATCAGATAACACAATAGTAAAATATTTTAATAAACAATAATATGTAATAGTTGTACCTGACGGCAGTATTAAAGAATTCACATTAATCTGAATTGAACTCATTCAGCCTTCGTCCACTCTTAAAGCAAATGCCGTATGTTTACTCATGGCAGTTGATGCCTGAAGAAACACACCACCTACAGATGTTACGTAGCTTGAAATTAATTTTGAGGTAGGAGGTGTATGGATGGGTATAATAATCATAATAAAAACATGTCTTTGTGTGCATATATGGGACTAGATTTTGTACAAAAGGGTGTTTGACTAGTTCCTCATATGAGGTTTGAACTGGGTACCTAACGAATAAAAGCTGTATACCACACATCACCGCTAATCTCTTAAGCTTTACTTTAATAACATGTTACTTCCTGGGGAGAAGGGAAGGGGAAAAAAAAGGGAAAATTAAAATAAAATGCCCTCACATTCCAATGCAGACAGCTGATAAATCAACTGTATACACCTCCTTATATCCTGGTTAAGTCAACATAGTAGATGTAGTATATGTTACACAAGCAGAACTAACAGCAACGGAGGAAATATTGCATGAGCTTGCGAAAGATTACACACAAATTCAAAGAATTCCATTACTTCATCACATTACAACATTAAACATTTACAGTTGTAACTATGTGTGCAATCCTCCTACGTATTTCCAGTACATTGAATATTTCCTAATTAAACAGCAACCTTCACTTTATGAAATAAGAGAACAATTAAAAACAGAACATATATGAAAAACCATAACCATTTCAACAACATACCAAGAAACTAAGAACAATCAGTGACTCCACCTCATCAATGTTTAATATTTGACAATACAAGAAAAATGGTATTTTCATTGAATTCCATGCACTAGTATGGAATATTCATTATTAAATGAATATGTAATGAGTAGATCAGATCTATCTCACAGTAACCATAATTTGTACTCTAATATGAAGTTATGCCTTATCATTTCCTTCACAAATCGTCAGTATGGTTCCTCACAGTAACACAGTGAATCTAATAATTCTCACAAATAACACACATTATTTCCCTAAAGACCCTTTATGAAGTGATTTTTGTAATGAAGACGTTTCTTTAATATACAAACTGAATTTTAAAAAATTATTTGGATGAGCTTTATGCTTCAAAGGGTTAACTATCTATGAAGAGTAGTATGTTGTATATAATGAGATTTTGATATCAAGCCATTCTTCAAGATACTTTGTATCACCTGGTTCATCATTACCTAATGTACAAGTTCAAACATACTGCATCAGCACAAATATACATTTGAACTGTAAAATTTTCTAGTTATATTGATTTACCAGTAACTACTACAGATGAAATGGGTAGAAGAAATAAGAAACACACCAATACGTCATCAGTACACTTTAAAAACATTTCTCCAGCAATTGTCTCAAAATTACTTTTTTTGTTCTCTGGTACAAATACCACTTCTCTATGTTCAAAGAAACTGCTACTGAATTAATGTGGACCAACTTCACACTTCCATATCTCTACTATAACAATGAACTTGACGTTATCTACCCAACTTAGAATATATCGGAACACAGTTAAGACACGTTTGTTTGCACTGAGAACTTTCAGACAGTACAAATATTATCATTTAAATATAAAATGTGGCAGATGATAATAAGCAAGACCAAAGGTTAATAAAAATCAGAATCTCAGATACACCTCCATCAATTCTAACCAGGTATGGATTTTAAGAACACTTCTTTACACATAGCAGTTGCAACTGGAAGCCTAGTTATATCCTTACTACTTAAGATACTAAAATTTGTACAGGATTCTTGGCTGATGACAACTGGGATATTTTAAAGTCCTGTCCTGACAGAAGCCGCCATGCATGAGGTTTTCATCATCACCATTCTTCCTAACCATTACCATCAGACCTAACACTGGGGATTATGCACAAAATAAGCTCAGGCCATGACACGAGTGATTAAAGCAATATGTACTCTTCCAGTATATGTAAAAGCAACAAAAACTTTGTTCCAGTACTCCAGAAAGCATTTATAACCGATTAGCAAGAGCTGTTTATCGAGAATGCCATCCATGTCCTCCTACCCACATTTTTGTGTGGTGTGCCATATCTTTCAGGGAATCTCAGTTTTAAACCTTGTTATGTTACATCACTCAACTTCAGTGAAATCTAAATTTAATTCCACTGTACATATCATAATTACATGATGTTTTATCAGCTATTTGAAGAGAAAAGCCAGGGATAATATGCATGTTATTGTGTGACATAACCATTCCTATTGCATGGTAAAATATAAAAAAATCCATGTTCCTTATAAATGCATGGTATCATAACCCAGAACACTATGATAAAACTGAAGAAATAATTATGTAATTGAAGCAGCAGATGCTAATGGAATGAAAGAATCATTCTAAACTTTATTCTTAATTCATGAATATTATTACATGTGTATTATTCTTCTGTATATCTGGCATTTCTTTCTGTGACTGTTCTGCAAGTTAATGACCTTGAAACGCCAACATAGCCGTGTGGTAAGAACATGGATGATGATGATGATGATGATGATGATGACGTACTGACAGAGGGTATCGGTCCAGAGTATAATGCTAGAGAAGTGTGTGTACATAACTTACTTACTTCTATTCCTTCATACAAACCTTTCTTCGATTAAATACTAAGAGTTAAATTTATCCTTGAAGGAGTAAATTTTAATCTTCTGCAAAAAATCCACTCAAAAAAGGAGAAAAAACATAAAGACAACTCTACAGGAACTTCAACAGCTGATACACCAACTACACAATGTAGAACCTACTACAGTTAATATTATTTTAAAGAAACCTGTTACATACTATTCTTTTATGTTTTACTGGATTTCTTTTGCCTTCAGTGCACTAACTGTAATTTCTGTATACATTTTAAGACTAATTCATACACATTACTGTCAATACTGTTACGTCTTCACACTGACATAATGTACTAATGTACAGTTCCACATGCAGCTAATATGTTGCACCTACTATGAAGTGGAGATTTGTGCAAAGAGTACAGCAGTAAATGAGTATGGTATCAGGACAACCCCAATTACAGCATTAAAAAAGTCACTTCCCATACCTTTCATTAACCATACATGAAAAAGGAAATTAAAAATACATTATTAACCTTAACACTATAGTCAGAATGAAATATAGACAAAAACAAAGCAAGCAATATTTATGTAAAAAAACTTATAGATCAGATTTCTTAGTCTGAATGTCCTATACATTTACTCCATAATATCAACTATTTCAGTTTCTATGACCACCGTCTGGAATACTTACAACACAGTACTGTACAGTTGATAAGGCATGTTTTAAATTGTAACTGTTACAATAATAATTTACATGTCAGATGCTGCTGGATGTGGTGAAGGAGGTGCAAGGGTATCAAAAACTTTTAATATCACAGCTACTGGTTATTCCCTATATATGTTTTAATTATTTTACTTTCCAAGTTGATCTCAAAGCAATATTACTTCAAAACCATCCATATATATCACAATGCAATGAATAATGACAAAATAAATTTCCAAAGGTGTCCTTCATACTAAAACATGGGCAGTGATTTCACTCTTATATGAAAGGAATAACAAATGAAATAACAATATCCAAGATCATTTTGATAACCTTGGTTTCAATTGTTGAAAAAATGTGTTCCAACAATTGTCTCAATTCCCACTGTTTCAAAGTTCTATAACAATGTCCTTGGTTCCTGCTGCAACAATGTGGTCCAACAATGGCCACAGGCCAAGTGGATTGTCAAGTTCCTTGGAAAAATGTCACAAAACAGACTTGGAAGAGCCCATAAGGTATTCTTTACTAATGCTAATGCATTAAGATATTATGAAAGGATTTTAAATTTAACACATTCTCAGTGTTACAGATATGCATAATTTATTTTCTTTGAACTTCCCACAAATAATCACGTTACCTCTTCATCCTTAAATTGCTCTTTCCTCACACTAACTAAACATTTATATATATATAAGAACAGTATGACAATTACGTTGTTAGCATGTGTGATATTCCTCATCCTTGTCCCTTCTTCTGGTTATAAAAGCTGACTCTGAAAGTACTAACAATGAGAAACAGACTGTGACTCACAGAATAGGTCAGCTCGGCAACAACACATCTGATTCTCCTTAATTCTACTGGGAAACACTGCTCAATCACAATATTAGGATGCAAAATTTATAGCTGCAAAAGTGTTCTACAGCACTGATCTATTTACGCAAAGAAAATCAATCACTAACAAATACTAAGAACAGATGGCTATCAACTTCACACTCTGCCATGAGAAACTCAAATCCTATTAAGAACACAGTTATTACTAAGTGCAGGTTTTCCATTAGAACAATGTTATACATCATAAAAATGTTTAGAGAAGAATAATTCTCCTTTCCTGAAGGTTCAAAAAAGTTAGATGAACACCAAATTCACATATTATTAATACAATAATTCAATAATAATTCCAATTAAAGGAATGTGGACCATGTAAAAGTTGCTACAGCAAAAAATAACATTTTTAAAACAGAACTATAAAGATAAAAGCAAAAACTCCAACTAGCTACAAAGGCTTATAAAGAAACTAATAACATTTGTTATGACAAAATATCCACATAAATTTTAATTCAAGACACAGGGACATATTCTTATTAGAGTATCCAGCATTATTTATGTACCATCTGAAAACTCATATCACATAGTAAAGTAATTCTATAACTTTACATCAGGATGATGTTGCAATGTGCCCAAGAAGTGACTATACTTGCGGACTAAGAGATCACATGATAAATCCCCTATCCATATAACCTGAAGAGTGCAAACAGTAATAAGCAGGGTAGAATTGAATAAAGGGTTATCATAATAGAGAAATTCTCTTCCTAAATTGTATAATAAGGATATATCAATTACAATTGACCTAAATTAGGGAGACAGTGGTCTATCACATAGTGACACGCACGACTCAAAGTGCCTGAATGAGACCATTTAACAAAGTTAAATCCACAGTGAAATATGTTACCAAAATAATTCCTTTGTATTTCCTATAAATATAAACATTTTGGGTGAGGAAAAACTTCAATTGGCAAGAAGACAGCAAAAAATATTTAATGTATTAAAAATTTCTAATAAAATATGAATGTGTAAGACAGATATGCAAAGACTTGTGACATGTACATGTAATCTAAATACACGACTTCTTTAACCTATTATATCTGCAACCAGAATACATATAAGACACTATTAACATATGTAATAAAGCCTATTACTGCAAGAGCTCTTGAAGACCGAGACTGGAAAAAATGTATACATCTCCTACTCTAAATAAAACATATTTTATATATTTTTCTCATCTTCCAATCTAAAGGCTTCGTCAGTATTCTAACCAAGAAACTACTGATTTTGTTACACTGCAGTTTCTAAACATTTCTCTATAAAGGCACAAATTGTCTTTATCAACTGTATTTTCTCCAGACACCCAGATAAGGTTCTTTAACTACAGTACAAAGTGACATCCTCCGTGAGATTCATAATCATTACCGCTTCCATCAGACTGCATAATCTGATATGGGAGACACCATCTAGTAACAAATGGCTTTTTATGAGATGGGTATTCCTTCCTGAGTCCCGCGTCATAGCTGCTGGGTCTGAGGCATCATGCTTCGGACCGGTGATACGGAATGCACGCTGGTTTGAGTCTCGGGGAAGGAAATTTCTCATGAGCTTTTGACCAGTGCAAACCCAGCATCGTGAGGAAATTGGGGAGCTACAATGGGTAGCGTAATCTAGTCAGGAAAGCTAGCAATGGCTGGGGGTCCGTTGTGCTGACCACACGTCACCCTATATCTGGTTGGATGAACATTCAGAGGGCTATTACGCCACGGATTATTATTCCTTCCTGAGGTGGAAACAGTTGCAAAAGACTAAAACGATGGTTGGTCTCTTCACAGATAATACTATCAAAGTATCTGCTGAAGGTTCTAAGAGGAACCATGCTACATTTTGGTCAGGACAGCAGGGTCTTTCTGAATGTTTTACTACAGATTATCTCACAGAGTTATCTCATAATTAAATCCTCCCTTATAAGCAGGTTAGTGAGTTTTCAGAAAAAATTCTTTCAGACTGTCCACTATTAAATAGAATCCCCATTTAATGTTCTATGGTACTTGGGATGTTATCATTTACTGTTTAATTTCCATGGTCCCACTATTACATTTCCTTCATTTGTTTCTTTTAGTTGCGTTCAAAAAGCACCATCTACCACTGAAATATTAACTCACTGTATCTTTATCCGAGATGAAATGCATATAATATGGCCCTTAAAATCCTCTTAGGGGAGGTACAGATAGAATAAGCATCGCGCTTGTTAAGTAATACAACCGCAGCAACTGCTGCTCGTGACACACCTTATGATTTAATTCTTTGAATCACTCTTCACCAGATTATCACTCTTCTTCTCATCAATTTTATAATACAAATCTCCTACTAATACCAAATTATACTTGTAACAATAACACGCACCAGGTTCTGAACTTGGCCTCCTCCTTCTTCTCCAGATGAACAGGGTTACAATAACACCTATCAACACCAAGACTACGAACACAGACACCAGTACAACATCTACAGACAACTGTGGTAGCAGTGGTGTTGGTATTGCGATTGAGTGTGGCAAGGTTGAATTTACTTCAACTGAAACAGTTAACAAACACATTTACTTACTTATTAATCAGACTGACAGGTACATAATGAGTTAGATTTTTAGCAATTAATTTATAAAACGCGGGTGTCTTCTGGTTTGCAGCACTGCGTACTGCGGGTGTGATAAGGTAAAGTAGTGATAACTTCTACATACAGTTCCATTCAATTAGCAGATGTGGACGAAAGTCCTAAGTTCATATTCTTTTAGAAAACTCTTAAAACCAATAATAACCAGACCCAAAACATACTTCCCCTTTTATCAGCTCTGCGGCTACAATGGGAAAATAAAGAGTTATCTGACTATAATATTTCCCATTTCGTCCAGTTCAAAACCCTTCCAAGGTCAGGGAGTCACAAAGAAATTGAGGTTAAAGGGCAATAAATTATTTTCAAAACACCAAATATTCAATAAAGTTAAGGAAAAATCCTATGGTTTACATTTATAATATTTCATTGTTCATTGGCAACCGCATAAAATTCTGCAGTCTTTGCTTCCTTCTTAAAGATTTCCATAATCTCCAATCCTTTAGCATTCCAGAAATGTGGGGAACAGAGAGGTTTCGATGCAAGTGACCAGAAACAAGCATGACACTATGAAGTATTATAAAGAATACTAAAAAACCTCTGCGTAAATATTCGACTTACAGACTTTGCTGTTGTATCTACAGTAAGAATAATCATTCCAAACTGTATTCTTCATGCATCGATCGTCAACAATTTCCACCTGTGAACAAAGAAATTCATTTTATACAAAAACTCTGATAAATGTGGGGGAAAAAAATCACATTGGTTTGTTGCTTTTGTATTGTGACCATGAACAGCATTATGTTCATACACCATTACAGGCAACTCCACACTGATATTTTGTACTTTCAAAACTCAAGGACTGGGTAACATTTCATATTACAAAATCCAATAAAATCACAATTCTCTAAACATCTGTGAAAATGGTTATGTTGTGTGATGTATATCTGAAATATATACACATACATACATACACACACACGCAAACACACAGTTTCAAAGCTGGTTCTACTCATATCTCCAGGTGATGTCACATTTTTTCTTTCTTTTTCTAACAAGTAATAGCTACTGACAACTAACTCTAAAGTTTTTGTTCCTGAGCAGTCATGTTGAATGTGTCCCTTAATGCTCAAGAAGGAATTAAGATAAAATCACTACATGCACTACTAAAAATTACTTACTATCACACAATAAAATCCTGTTGTAACATTCTGTATGGTGCATCGTATCTCATCACTGTCCTGCAAAACCACAAAATATTCACGTACAAAGTTACAAATAAAAGTGCTTCTTGCAATATTTATCAGTATTTTAAACAATGGTCAATAAATAACAAATATAAGAAGAAAGCATCGACACCATGCAGCAATAAACGAAAAGATGCCAACTGACTCAACTGAAAAACCAACAACTTCCCTCCAACGGACTATAAATATTTTGCATGTACATTTTACCTAAATCTCAGACTACAGTATTCTAGATTTTTAAACACATCCCTTATTCTGAAGGAAACTAAAAAGGCACACTTTCCTCCAAGAACAATTGTTAAGAACTCGTCCTTGGATCAATAAAATAAAAATTCTGCTTCAAGTTCATGGACCATTAAGAATATTACATTTTGCCCCAGTGCTGGGGAATGGGGCATAGTGTTACCCTACATTATGTACTAGCAAAACCTGGAAGTGTCATAGGTTAAGCAGCCAATGGTAGCCTGGCTGTTAACTGGAATCATGAAGATAATTTCTAACAATAGCTCATACAATTTTAAAATCAAGAACAATGATGGTACGGGCTCATTTCCTTCAAGAACAAATAATTACCTGCCACTATGTAAAAAGACAATGTCTCTAAAAGCTGCTCTGAGAAAATTATGATGGACTATAGCCCATAAATCAGTAGTTACTTACTATATGGCACAATGATATGTCTGTCACACTGTCTTTCAATTTACACATGAACTGTCCAGATGTCTGTAAAAGAAACAGTTATATTAATAAATATTTCACACTTTTATGGCAGATAATTATCACAAATCCTTCTTACTCCAAGACAAAGCAACAATGCATTCCACTACTAAGGCTGGGGTCACACAACAGTATAAAGCACATCCATTATAACGCACATCGTGATGTCCGTCATAGAATTAGGATTTGGAAGTACAGACAACACTATTATTTTTTTTTCTAAATTCTTTCGAGCTGCCACAGTAATTGGTGCTCGTGTGGTGTCCTCGCCTACGTCCGTACAAAAGTACGTCCATTGCAACGGATGTACTTTGTACGGTCGTGTGGCCCCAGCCTAAAGGTCTCAAGCAGACTACTTAACTAATGGTAATACAACAATAAATGGTAAATTGTATAGGATACACCCATACCAACAGACAAAAAATGAAAAGACCTGTACAGCCAAGTTGCAGCTATGCGAATGGCTTCCACGTGTAAACTTCCAATATTCCACACACACTCACACACACTTTATATTGACAGTGAAAATGAGCACCAAGCATCAAAACAGAATAAAATATGTATGGAGTAACCAATCTACAATGGGAAAAATAAACCAGGTAGAGATTTTTATACAAGTAACCATAAATAATATTTCAGTTTTATCACATTTTCAATCTAGAATGCAAAATTGCATGATCATTATAACTTATTTCCATTCAAGACTGAAAGTGATAAATAATCTAAAAACTCACCTGATGAATAAATCTGCTGAGTGGATTAAATACAATGGTCCAGTGAGATATTAATACAAATAATTAAAACTTACACCAAACTAAACTCTATGGTACAATCTTCTTTGATCAACTGATAGTTAATAGGCAAGATTTCTAGTCATCACCCTGATGACGGAGCAAGCACCTTTAAAATGTTGGCAAACGTCTACCAGACTACACGGTGCAATATTCCAGAAGTGTCGCCTCTGTCAGTTAATTAGGTGGCCAAGACATGTACTACTTTCACACAATCTGATGGCTCATTACCAAATTCACAAAGTCTCAAAAACAGATCCTATCCTCCGCCAGTTCACAGCCTATTTCCGTAAGATCAATTTTATTCTCCGATAAATACCAAGGTCTCTCAAATGTTTTCTTCCCTCAAGATTTTCCAACCAAAATGTCACATGTGCCATACTTTCCCCTGTGCATGCTGCATGTCCTGAGTATCTAATCTTTCTTGATTTAATCCATGCTAGTCATTTAAAGCCCAAAAACTGATGCAATGGAATTATTCAAATGCAATGGAAGGCAACCAATCCAATGTCCGCATATCATGTAACCCAGTATGTTACAGCATTCCCAAAACCAAAACAAGCTCCTATAGAGTGCTCACAGAATGAGATTAATCATTTTTCTGATTACTGCCAAAAAAATGCAATATTTAGAACAGAATTTGTTTAAAAAGCAATATTTAAGAATTAGGGAACATCTTATTGACCCTTTGAAGCCAAACCTCATTTAAATAACTTTTAAAAATTCAGTCTGCACCACATAGGAAACAACACACTTCAACATTGATGAGAATCACACATGAAGATTGACATATTTAAAATTTTTGAAACAAATCCTGCTGTTCCAGTTTCATTATAATTTAATTAAAATTGCATTTTAAGCAAGTACCATCACAGTAATCAACTACAAAAATGACCACAGCATGAGAGGGATCTGACTTCGTGGCACATCAGTGCAATGAGCATTCAGATGTTCAGGAAACAAGAAAATGTTACAAAAACTAAATTTGGTACATGCTATCTACGTCATGACACAATGAGCCTACACTTTCCAAAACAAATATTATTTTTATCATAATTTGTAATTAACACATGACGCGAGACAGAATTTTATCTACAGTAATGCAAAATGGGAATTCTGGGACATGAAGGAATTCAGTACTTACAGTATTAAATAAAGTTATCTGCATCAACAAATCATTTAAACAACCAGCCTTGGGGAAGTTCTCATCATAAAAGATCCTGTTACTCAAAACAAAATCACATTCTGAACATTTGATTTCTTCTTCTTCTTCATAGTTGCTGAAGTAGTTTTCAACTTAGTTCTGCAGATGCTTTATATAACATTCACATGGAAGTTCTAAAGCATGCATGCGCATATTTTAAAAGGCAGCTTAGGATGTGGAACTATGCAAGGCGCAGATGATACCACACAGGTAACAGAGCATGTTCATTATAGGACTGCAAATTTAGCCCAGACACAGTTGCTAAGTTTAGTCAGTTAATTTATTAGTTTTTTCAATGAAAAAGAAGAATTTATAAACCATAAATATAACTGTTATCAAATATTTTAAAATCAATTATATGATTTAGTTAAATATTTAAAACTGTGAATATCATGAAGATGACTGCCTTCTGGGTTACTGTGCTGCGTAGTATGGTAGAATTTTAACGACATCTACTAGACTACATGGTGCAACTAACCAGAAATTGGTCATCTTCACACTCGCCACAATGAAAACCTCATAATTCATGTAAACATCGCGTCCAAAAGCAAATTCAGTTACGCCAAGGCAACAGCTCAATATAGAGACACACAAATGCAGAGGGTCAATCAAACATCACTTACGAAAATTACTGCCTCTTACCCTATAAATGCAACATGAGTGCTCATGTCCTGACACGTAGCATGCTCTGTCCTTTGTATGATCTACATCAGAGATGAGGCGAAACCCCATATGCAGATCTTCAATGTCTTCAACTGACTCGAAGTGGACACTTACATCAATTTGTTGTCTGAAAACATAATGATGTCTGTTCTGAAGCCACAGCTGAGTATACAAGCAAAGGCACACTGACTGCGTGTTACTGGTACACCATTAGATATAAAAAACCAAAACTATAGCAAGCAAACAAGCAAGAAAATATAATATCAGATAAAGCAAGCGCTGCATGTTAGTAAGCACAGGGTGAATATTAAAAATTAAATTCATTAAGCAGCTTGTGCATGCTCCCAAATGCCAGAAATACATAATATTCTGAATTCTGTACATAAATAGCATTCATCCACAAATATGTCTAAAGAACAATGCTTTCTAAAATTATAAAAACCACATGTATAAGAGAATGCTCAACTTCCCCCCCCCCCCCCCCCCCCCCACACAAAAAGAAACAGTTAAAGCATGACTCTTAGCTTACACTTAAAGCAATCTCCCACCAGTGTTGCATAACACCATGACCACAGTTGCATGAATGGAAATCACATTTTCTGATTTCAATCTCCATTCTGGTAACATTTATCCTGGTAATATTACTGACAGAGCACTCCAACTCCCTCCTAGAAATAAACAAACACAGCAATAGCATCTACTAAACTACATGGCAAAAACTACCTGCAATTTATTTGTTATTCATAAAACACACAGAAAACAACACACAGCTACACTTTTATGAAAAGGGCACACTTGACCAAAATCTTTTTCCTATTTTTATTGCCCTTGCATTCTCTGTAAATTTAATCACACACAATACAGAGATGACAGAGAAAAAGCAGTATCACTCCACTTCAGAAATTTATATACTGAGGTCAGTTCTTGTAGTCGATCTACATAAAGTTTCATGCAAATATTAAATCACTACAGAGTTCAGTATTCTAAACAAATTTGTTTAACATATGTTTCTTCTAAAAAACTATACTAACAAAACAACATTTAAATTATATGGATTGAGAACATCTCAGCTATGACACAGAGTACTCTTGTAGGTACACGACGGAGTCAAAACCCAGACTACATGGCATCAGAACTCAGAAGACTGCAATCCACATTTTAACTACTACGAAAACCTTAAATCTAATTCTAAATTACACTTTGCAGCACCATACCTAATTGCACTGTGATGATGTCAAATTCATGAGCAACAATTCTAATACAATTTGTTTCCATTTCTTTATATACAAGTCAAAATAAAACAATTGCCATAGCTAGACCATCCTCAATTCTTATGCAATCAGCAATCATCTAACCTCAACAAAACTTACCAATAGCTGAGAACAAAGAGAACAAAGTAGTAGCACAACATACATAAAGAATTCCCACACTTGAGTTACACACAGCCAATCCATGAACTACGTGATATACACCTCAAGAGGAATTTTGAGACTGCCTGTGTCGAGGTTGAGTCCAGGAACTTTTTGACTGTACTATATACAAACTAATATTAGTATTGAAGAGAGTTGATGTCTGTTAATTTTATAATATAATAGTATCTTCAGTATAAATGAACAGGGCACCTTTAACCTCTGCCACAAAAGAAAACAAGTGAACAAAATTCAATAACAAAATATTAAAAATTATAAAGACAACATTTCCATACATCTTCAATCCCACATGTGCCTGTCTGTAAAGTTTCATTCAAAATAAGGGAAACCTGAATGGGCTGTCCATAAGAAAAGTTACAGATAGTTCATTCTTTGAAAAAGCGAAACAGGAGAACATATGTCAGTGATTTATTAAAAAATGTATAAGTAAATAAACTATGAATGAGACTAAGAATGCAAGTAACAAAAACCACTCTACACAGCAAGAACCTGGACAGAATGCAATCAGCATTTCTGGCTACAAGTAATCACAATATTAATTAAATACATATGTTATAAAAGAAGTGTGTAATCAAAATCATTTAAGTTTCAAACTTCAGCAAGGATGGAAAAAAAGGGTTTACTCATCAATGCCTGCAAAAAAGTTCAATGAACCTTCATAATTATATTTCAAATCTTTCAATTTTTGCTTCTGATTTTAAAATTTTTATCTTAATATATGAAAACATTATTACTCAGGATCTCAATTTGTTTCCAAAGAATACATTACTCACATACCTGTTTAAGCACAAATCTTCAGTACTTATGACGTCCAGCTGAACAACCTACATAAAAACTTCAAATCTGTGTTCTGATTAGAAAACTGAAATGTGATGAAATATCCTTCATTTAAACACGTTGAATAATTCAAACAGCGAAACATGGACAAACAGAGACATCGACCAGACTACACAGCGCAATAACCCAGAAGACAGAAATCTTCATACTCACCGCTGTGAGAACCTCAAGTCTTACAGAGACAGAAGACTCTGTAAAATCTGAAGATGTCAGTCTTCTAGATTGTTGCGCCATGTAGTCCGATAGAACAACCCAGAAGACAGCCATCTGTGGACTCACCACCATGAAAACCTAAAATCCTACTTACTGCAAAATCCACAAGTTTAAGTTCTGAGACTACTTAAATAAGGAGTTAAAATCAACAAATCAACTTTTTTTTAAAATCACATCTTATAATCTGAATATAGATAAAATCAAATATATCCATTAATTACATTTTTAAAAACCACTAACTGATTATGTCTAAATCCAGAAATGATTCTCACTAATGTTACCTACATAAAGATTTCTGTCTTCTGGGTTGTTGCGCTGTGTAGTCTGGTCGATGCTAACCAACGTTTCAGAGGTCATACTGCCTCCGTTATCAGGGCGATGAATATTCAATCATGACGGAGGCAGTATGACCTCTGAAATGTTGGTAAACATTGACCAGACTACGCAGCGCAACAACCCAGAAGACAGAAATCTTCATACTCACCGCTGTGAAAACCTCAAATCTTACCTACATAAGTTAAGCAGAGGAGATGAGCATTGAATACAATTTTATGTACTTGATAAAATAAATACTAATCACCCTTTTTACAAACAGTAATCGTACCAGTAATGTTGCAATTCATCCTTATTCCTAATAGAATTAGTTAGTATGTGGATCTCAGAACATAATGTTTTACCTCGTGCATCAAGAAATTCTGCCAAAATTTGAAAACACCTGGTGTTTACACATTTCATCTTTGTAATAATGTGAAGCCCTAACTGGAAACTTATTTAGCTTGTACGTATATCCGGCATTGGGTAAGTCAATAAAATCAAGAGAATAACTGCACTGATGCATCATAACATGTAACAAGTGTGATTAGTGCAAACACGGAAATCCTAGAGTTTGTGGTAAGCACTACAAAGTGCAAAGTGCCAACATTCAACTCACATCACCACAGAAATTTGTTTACCAAGTCTCTTCAATAAAGGAAAGAAAGCTAAATGATGCCACAAGACAGCTCACTGCCGATACCTTTGAACAGCTTGTTAAACATTTGTCCTTTTGAAGACAGTCAAAGAAAAACCACTAAAAAAATGTGGTTTTTTTGGGAGGGCTGAGTTTCAAACTGACTTCTCAGAGGAGAATAAAATGTTATACTTGTTTTGTTTTTTGTCAAACTGAAGTGAGTATTAAATATGTGATTCATGCACAAGTTTTTATACATTAATAGTGACCTGTTCACCTTTCTCTTACTATAATAAAATCTAAAGTTAATGTTAGGAGAGAATTTTTTTCTGAACTTAATACTGCTTCTTAAAGATTAAATACTTTAGCAGTTTTGCATTTAAAATTTCCACTACTGAATGATATATGATAAGGTGTGTTATGTGAAAGTATTTTCTCTCCCCACAAGGAGTTAAAATTATCCATCCAATGGCATTACAGTCCAAGTCAGGCTGTCAGTTAAAATGATAGTCTTCGTTTATTACAACAAGAATGTCTCACAATTTAATGTTGAAACCTGTTAACTACCGCATAAAAGTTTCCACTTTAATTTATCCTCCCTCATTTCCAAATTTGGAATGTCCGTTCAATCTCTTCTTCACTTCGTGTCCTTTTCATTTCATCCGTCCTGCAATATTGTGGCGAAATGATCTTCCCTCATATTTGATCACATTTACAATTTTGAAAAATGCTTTTCTCTGACACATAATCATACACCAATGAGCAGACATTATGCATTACATGTGTGCACATATTAAAACAAGAGTATGAGTATTAACGTTTAAACGCCTGTGTCCTGAACAAAACAATAAGTTAAAGTATGAGGTTATCAGTCGAAGAGACCTGGTTTGTATGTTATCCTTCACCAACATAGACGTGCCAGTATTAAATACAAACAATACCAGAACCTTACAAATATGTGCACATATAAGTAAGTGTTAGAACAACTGTGGAAGTACATTCCAAAAAGTAAACTTGAGATGAAATCAAAAAATAATGCACAAAAACATGCTTACTGAAATCAAGACTGCTTATTTCACTAATTACTACTACTACTACTACTACAAATAAATTATATTAATGTAAGGTCCTAAAATACTGTGTGGGAGTATATATTTTGAGAAATATGCAATGTTTGAAACAGAAATTTTTGTAGAATATGAAACAATAATGTGGTGGATGAACAAATTCTATGTTTCATTTTCAACATCATTGTGAATTTCATTCTTCAGATAGGACATTAAATTCTGTACAAAATGTTGGGTTCTGATCTTCTGGGTTACAATGATATGTAGTCTTGTAGGTGGTTACCATTTTTTTGTAGAAACTTATAACTTCCATCTTCAGGGTCAAAGATCCTCTTAAATGTTGGTAACCATCTACAAATTACGTGGTGTCGCAACACACAAGACCACACTCCAAATCTTCAGTGTTGTTCATCCATGATATAGCATCGTAATTGCATATGGCGATGGTATAAAACTCTGTGGTTATATCAGGCAAATTTAATCCGTACAAGTACAAATGAAGTTCATAAATGGATTTACCAAATTATATAATTATTCCTTTAAAGTGCTCGTTAGTTTTGCCACACAAACTGAAAGATTTTTAAAAAATGAGTCAACCGTCTTTTTTTTATCAAATGAATCCAAATTGACAAATCACAAATTACCACAGAGCATATTTTTACGCTATTACCTGAATCTTATCACCCATTAAGTGTCCTGTAATCTTACTGGCTATGTCAGATACTATACAGCCTGGTGTAACTGACGACTGCTTGTAGCAGATAGTATGATGGACACTTTTCTTCCTTTTCATAGACGCTCAGCTCTGCCCCCACAAACTTCCAAAATGTATGTAATGCAAAATGACATCTTATTTCTAAAGTTTGTCAGACATGCCTTTTATGTGGTACATATTTAAAACAAAGACAAAAATTTAGATATTCAAGTGCAGTTCCAGACCTCACAGACTGAAATGGACCAAAAATATAAATCTGAACTGTGTTAATAGCAATTCATGATGTGTCAACAAAATTAATCACATCCATTCACAGAGCAATGCACAAATAGGGCAAGCATTAAACCTTTACAGCCCAGTGGTAACTATGTATACCATCTCTTTTAATAACCAACTCTGCATTTTGCCCACAGTGTATTTATGGATTTCATATGATTCTGAGAATAAACGACGACTGCTTGTTTAAACAGCACTGGCCTATTACTCTTTGTATGGAGAAATATTGCATTTTCTTAGAGGTATTTTTAGATGAACTTTGACTTCTGTGGAGTATGGAATACATATTTAACTCTAGACTGCATCAACTTTTCTAATAAAAGTCGCTCTTATCATGTGACTAGCAACTGAGATAAGATATGCAAATGGAATAATCATTGAAGATTTCCGTGTTCTGGGTTGTTGCGCTGTGTAGTCTGGTCGATATTAACCAACGTTTCAGAGGTCATACTGCCTCCGTCATCAGGGCGCAACAACCCAGAAGACGGAAATCTTCATACTCACCGCTGTGAGAACCTCAAGTCTTACGGAATAATCATTGTTTTCAAATAAATAACCATAAATCTGCACTCTTATGTTACTTCTTATTACATGTAACAATAAAAAGAAAATGATTCAATGGCATTACTCACAGTGCTGTAGTATACTGATTGGTGATTGTTGGTATCTTTTGAGTTAATAAATCCTTTTTGTATTCAGTCACTATAAAAAAAGGCAATGAAGCAACAATAACACCATCTATCATATCTTTCACTGCTTCAATTTCCAATAAATAGCAACCACTGAACACGTAGTTAAACTTCACAGTTGCAGTCTAAAACAAAAGAACAAAATCCCCTTCAAAAAATCACATCTTAATAAGTTTTTAACAAACATAAATAATGGAGTGTGACAGAAATATTGCATTGGCAAGATTATAAGGTGATTTATTTGATTCGTAATTCAGCTACAACACATTATCACATAGTAAAAATTCATGCAAAAACTTTATATTGCATATTTTTGTATTTTGTTATAAACACTTTCATGTGGCTACAACTCTGGTCACTTTCTGAAAATTTGTATTGTAAGAGCTTCTAAAATTTAAGGTAGTACAAAGCTCTATTAGCTGATTCTAGTATGTGCTATTAAGACAATATTTTTCCATCTCCCACTCCAAAATAAGAATAAACATACCCTTCCACAAGAAGATACTTTTCTTGTCCTTTGTACTTCTGTTGTGTTTCCAGGTTCACTATCCAGTATTTTCACAGATCTATTAGAATGTAGTGTAGGGGCTTTTACATCACCACATTCTTTTGCATTTCTTAATTTTTCATCCACATACATACTCAGCATGTAAAACTCATACCCACAAGATATGGACATCAGACTGAACTCTACAGCAACTGTACCACTTTTTGAGTTCACAACTGTCCATGAGATGTTTTCTGCATCAATTGTATTACATGACTTGACTTCTGAAATAAAAAACATTAACTGTCACACACTGCTAACCAACAAACTCCATGGAGTACAGCCCTCCTTCAGAAGCCAACAGTATGCCCAGCTAGTCTAGAAATTTCCCACCTTTTATGAAGTCTAAAGGTTCATTACTATGCTCAAAACAATCCAACACCAGTCCCAACTGTGGACCACATAAACCCAATCAACACCCTCCAACCCAATTTCTTCTTCTTCTATGGCTCTCCGGTCCATATTTGGTCCTTGGCGTCCTCAATTCTCCTCTTCCATTCGGTCCTTCTGTTAGGTCCGTCTGTCCGAGGTTGAGGTTTCGAAACATCTTCCTTTTTACGGTGCAAGGTTGTTAGCCTTGCGACCAACCCCCAACCAGGAGGACCAGGGTACCTGTCTTAGTCTGACCTCTCCCCCTCGACCAATCTAGCTAGGGAGGCCCTACCAGTAGCTCTTGGGGTCACTGAGGTACTCAAGCCCCACCACCACGACAAGGTGCAGGTACCATTAAGTGGGGCCAACTCAATTTCCCTATGATCCATTTTCACATTATCCCCTCATCTATTCCTAGGTCATCCGAATTTTCTCTCCTCCCTCCAGACTTTCAACCATACACTGCTTAAATACATAAATATTGGGATTGCTTTATTGAGAATGAACAGATTTGTGCACCAGTAATGGTTTAGACATGCGTTCAGGAGGTACGTGGCTCAAAATCTCGGCCAGATAACGAGCCTGAGTATTTCTGTGATTTTCCTTAGTCTCTCCAGGTAAGTTCTGAGATAATACACTTAAATAGATCACAACTGTCTGCTTCTAAATTCTTACACATTCTCCATTCTTCTCTTCTAATATAAACTAAGGAGCTTAATAAGTGTTCTTAAATAACAGGTAATTTAACAGCCTCCTATCCAATGAGTACAAGCTCTTTTGACAAGGGCAAAAAGGTTAGAGTGCAGAGCAAACAATTCACATCTACCTAATCAGAAGGTTAAGAATACGTAATGCATCACCTCCACTTCACCATTCATCGTCATATTCTTGTGCTTAATTAAGAAAAGGGACAATTTTATGTTTACCTTGACAGCTAAATACAATGGTCGCACAAATGTTATAGACATGTCATATTATCTTCCATGTTAGACATCAAAGATTTTCATAAAACTTTCATAAAAATGTCACATTTCAACACATGAATGGCACTACTGTCGCTCCTCCCTTAAAGTTAGCCTCTTAATTTTTTACTGGCACAATACTGTAACTATAAAGGAGAAATTTGGCACGGTAAGATAACATAAAGTTGCTTGGATGATCCACTTTTGTTTCTGTCCTCGGACATATAAACATGGCATTTGTCACCCCCACAAAAACCAAGAAACAAAAAGTATTAAGTGCCAATACAAGCTGCTTCTTAAATAAAACTAACTTACCTTTACTTTCAGATTCAATCTCTTCCTGAATGCACTCCATCTGTCCATATTCATTCTGCAATAAAGACCAATTACAAAACAAACTTTTGAACTACAAAGATAATTAAACAAAGTATATATAGGCCTACTCAGTCGTTTTTCTATATAAATTCTTTCAAAATATGAGCTTTAGTAAACCAAACAGTACATCCTTCTTTTCTTATCGTATTTCTAAAGTAAATTTGCAACTCTTTTACTCAAACAGGATGAAACAACCAGAAATGTTAATCAACTTGTACATGAATGGATGTTGAGTATGTGTAAACATACGAATGTAGACACATCTGTGTGCAAGCACTCAGTTTAACAGCAGCTTTAAATTTTTTATTCAATTTATGTAGGAGGAAAACAACATTAAGGAAAAATAAAGTGGTAATAAAAGTAGGAAAATTAAGTACAGTATTCTCAATTAATTACCTTAAATTTTAGCAACAAAAATCCCTTCAAATCAAAAGCTCAAAATAAAAGTTATCAACAAATGCACTCACATCAGAGAACATGTTGTTGCAGTCTATATCCTCACAACTGCACCGGCATAAAATGGCAACCACCAAAGCAGTTTTTAACCACTTCATTGTTTCAGATTTTCTTATATGTAAGAATAAATTTATTTTGCAACTTTGTTACACAACACAAGGCCTGAAACAAAAACAATTTGTTATAACCTTAATTATTAACTAAATGCATTTATGTATGATAGAAATATTGACTGCTGAAGGATGAGATGCAATTAATTATTGATCATCCAGCTCAGAGAAAGACAAAGGCAAGTCAGGGTCACATTTTGGTCTAAGAATGGCAATCCTGACTGGGAATTTCATTGTTTACCCCAGTCAAACCCTAAAATGAACATACTAACTGAAACAAATCAGGTTTAAAACAAGCGCTGTTGAATTAAAATATGTTAAAAATATGTACAATGAAAAAAAACTTCTTGTAAAGGCAGTAACATACCCATTCATCCAGAAATAACGATTTAAGAAATATTTACAAAAAAACATCAAGTTTACAAGATTGTAAGACTGTACCTTCACTTTTTACATTTTATTAAGTAGAATTAATACAGAAGCTCTGTATCAGATTAAAACACAGTAATATACTGTGTGATTTGTCCATATTTTAAACTAAAAATGGCATGAAATGATTACTGTTTTTGCTTTGTATAGTCTGTAGTTCAAATTCTGGCTGAAATAATCAATCTTTACTGGCGGTTTTGTATTTTCATCAGGGAGTGTACTTCAACATTGATGTTTCTCTCATTTTGACTCACTATTTACAATTCTCACTTCTTTCAGATGACTTCACATTACCAGAATAGTTAATATGACAACATTAAACAAGGTAATACACAAACAACATGTTCCAGTTTCTGTAAACTTACCAAGCATTCATAGCTCTTAGACATGTTTATCTTTCTATATTAAAGACTGCTAGAAACAGTCACAGCTCTAGCAGTTAGGTTTCTGGACTCCTTAATCTTAACAAACCATTTCATTACACATATTAATATCAAGTGAAGAATATAAAACTTGAACTTTTCACACAGTGACTAAACTTGACAAAATTTTCTATATATATAAAAAATATTGATATTGACTGTGCCTATCCCTGCTAAATGTCAATTTATTCAAGAAGTGATCTTTGTTACAAGTTTTATAACACAAATAAAGAAACAGGATCAAACAATTTTTGATGGCCTTTGAGTTTTTGTATGCCCTACACAGTGATTACTGGATAATACGGCCCTGACACCATGCTGTAAAGCTTCTAATTATTTTCATACACAATTTCATTTCGAGACAAATTTAAAACGTTCGAAGCTGGAGCGGCTTCTAACAGCATAAAATTTATACGAAATTTCGTGAAAATCTATGAACTGCTTAAAAAGTTTAAACGAGGGAACAAACATGTCCATTGGAGCCTTACGGGCTGTGATGCAATGTGGTTTTGTAAGTGCAACCAAGACTAACAAATGTTTACATTCAACAGGTGTGGTCCTTGAAGTGGGTCAATATCTAACTCGCATATTACCTAAACTTTTCGTATAGAATACAAACCCACTGTCAACTCGTTGTGATTACTTAAAAGTTTCAAATTATATACATCACTCCCATATCTTATCGCTTTATGTATTACTGTGTTTCAACAAATACCTATATTAATCCTCACCTCAAGCTGCATACACTTTCAAAAGTATCGTAATTGAAAATGGTCCAAACCAACACTACGCAAGACCATTTCAACACAACTGCATTACACGCCATTACCACTAGTATTGATGTACTTCACACATAATACAAGCATACTTCCGCCAGATGCTGCTGTTGTCACGGTCATGCCGCTGAAATTCACCAGCACTTCACGATTTCTCCAGCACGTCTCGATGACCAATGAAATTACGCATAAACTATCACGGACTTATCCTACACCACTCTACGACTTAACCAGAATTTCTCCAGGACTTTTCCAGGAATTCTCCAGGACATCCCCACGAACGCCCGATGAACACGCTAGAAACTGTCCAGGACCCAACCTAATCCATCGTAAAACAATACAACCTTATCTAACCTAACCTAAACAACCAAACCTTGCCACACCTAACCTAACTAAACCTAACAGTGGCGGATCGCGAGTCTGAACTGTGGTAGTGTTGCCCATGATTTTTTAAATCATTTTCACTCAAGGACAATTTAGAAAAAGTAATTTGCAGTAACTATGATACACTTCCTTGGCTCATTATCATTATTAGAACAAAATATAGTCAGCACACAGAATTACTGAACACTCATTAACAATAACCACGAAACAGTTTGTGATACGGAAACCAGTCTAAAACACGTGGTACCGGGCAAGGGTGTTTATTATAAGGAGGTTGCGGGTACTACAGCTCCGATACGCGCTGTGCCAGTGAATTGCCCCTCAATCCACCTCGCACCGCGCTCATCATTTGACCGGCTAACCGCGCTGAAATCCTTGCAGCCGGATGATAGCCCCGTTCTGCGTCGCACTCGTTGCCCGTGGACTTACTATCAGTTCATCCGATTAGTGGATAATGACAACGTAAGGGGCAATATTAAAATAATGATATAGAGGAAATAAATTGTTACAAATTATATAAACACAAAAAAAAATCAAATTTTAAAAAGATTATAGGGGATGCTGCAGCTCTTCAGCTGTTATGGACGGGCCGCCACTGGTTGTTCTACGTCTTCAGAACTGGAGTGAACTGCATGTATGTAGAGACTCAGAGGTTGCACGGGTATTTCCAGCCTCCTGGCTGCCTGTCTATATATCTGGTAATTACACACCTTTAGATGAATGTTTCCGATAGTGGGAGCTGTGAACATTTCTTCGAAGGAGGAATGCTAATGGTCTCAGTGATATAAAAATTCACAATGAATTATAAACATATAATTGATGTATAAAGTACTTCACATACATATTTAAAGTTCTTTGGTAGTCATCTTTCACACAGCTATATATAATTTTTTTTAATTGAAAGCCCGGACGTTTTTATTCGCACCACGGGACTTTTGGATTTAAGTATTTTGGGAATTACTGCTTCATATGAAGATTACTGTCTTCCGGGATGTTACGCATGGGTTTTCTCAAAAATAGCTTGCGTGGTTAAGTTGCAAAACATTTCGAGCAATCTTGATAAAATTTACTCCGAGGCTTATTTACTACAGGCTTCTACGCACAAAACGAATTACGTGATTTTTTGCACGGCCACTCACCAGTAGCTATACAATGAGCAAAAATACGTCATCAATTAGATAGATGTTAGTTATCTTCTCAAATTCAACACTGTTACGAGGGTTGTCTGACATCCAGTGTCGTTCCTATCACCTAGTATTCGCAATGCGCAACGACGAACGTGCTTTCCAGCACGAACTGTCACATACTTAGCGAGGGTTAAGATGTATTACTCGCAAATGTATAGTAGTATTTTCAGTAGCAATGTATCAACACATTATATTACATTGCTATTGGCTTTCAAGGATTTCAGACATAGATACGTATAGTCATATCAGTGGTGTTGCCAATTCAACAATTTTATACAGGAAATCTCTTCGCAATATATCTGTCCCCTATAATCGCCCTTTTTCCTGATATCAAATAAATTAAGTAAAAAAAGTGAAAAGTCATCGCTACGCAAATGCAACTCAGGCCATAGTCTTTTATCAGTCTTCCTCTTCAGACTCATATTCTTATACCGAACAGCAGAAAACTCTGAAGAGTTCTGACGGGAGCGGGGAGGGGGAGCCAACTTCAGAAACGTAGTGGCCCATTTCCGAAATACAGAAAGACAAAAATTTTATTTTCAAACAGAAAGGTTTTCAGTAATGGTGTCCAAACAACGGGCTCATAGAATGGAAGAAAGAACAACGTATAACTCTGTACAGGGGAAACGTACTGAGGAGAGACAGATGAGGTCGTCGCACGGGGGGAAGGAGGAGGGTATGAACAGAGTCTACGAGAACAATTAATTAGTGGATGTGGCAAGGCCAACACGTTGGCAAATTCGTGGAAGCAGCCACGAACTTGGTCCTTTCTATGACTTTCGGTCCGAGCAAGGGACCCACATTCAGTTACAGAGCACGAGATACAATCTGTATTTAATTACGATATTTCCAAATATAAAATAAAAATTCACAGATATTAGGATTGCAGTACATGTTCACTGATAATTACTAGTTTAAAATTATGAGTAAATGCTTCATTTTAACCCAAGACGTTACAGCCCTTGTAATTTTAAAATGCAAATGTCATAGCACCCTATTAGCCTGATGCTGCCATCTAAATGACCGGAATTTGTCCGCCATATTAGCCTGATGCTATCTAAATGACCGGAATTTGTCCGCCATTAACAAATTCCGAATAAATGCACAGATTTTCATGAAACTCGGTATGAACATCGTGGCACTGCAGGATACCCTAACAATTACAAATTCCAATTTATTTTCATCAATAATACCAACACGGAGGCGGCGCATACTTTAGAAGTGAGCTCCACGAAATGTGTGGTCCTGAAATTTTGTGTAATAACAGATACACAAAAATTATGTAATTTTTTCAAAATAATTTGTAGTTTTCCTTACGGTGGTTGTAATATGTCATGTTCCGACGGGTTATCACAATAAAGGTCCTTCATTCGTGGCCTTCGGTTAGCTACTGCGCGGTGTTCAAGGCGTCTGTTGTATTGAATGTAAATGTTTGATTTGTCATCTTCGCAACATAATTTAAACAAAGGACGTACGCGCTATGACCGGTTTAGATTATCAGATAGTCACCATCTGACTACGTTCACCTTTGTGAAATGTGTAAACTGAAAAATTATCCTTGTATCAAGCATCAAATTAAATGTTTTAAAAACCTACCCCAAAAAACAGCAAAAAAGTTAACCGTCTGATGCCAAGGCTCGTCTAAGAGCCCATATCCTTATATTTAATTTCTTTCACATCTTTTTAATATTATCTTCCCATATACGCTTAGGTCTCCTAATTTGTCAGTTCTCTAAAGGTTTTCCGACAGAAATTTGGTACTCATTTCTTACAGCTACTACGCATGCTACACCTCCTGCCAATCACATGATCTCACTAATATCTGGTTGCTATACGCCCCAATCTGAGAGAAAATTGCGTTAATTTTAAATTACTCTAATCTGCACAATTATCTTAACAGGCAGACAGTCCAATTGCGCTATGCTTGTACTGCGGGCCCACATACCTTCACTAAAACAAAATTAGCTGTTTGTTTTTTCTAATATGTCTTTGTGTGCACAGAAATCCAGTCCAGTGCAAATCACAGAAGGGTGGCTAAATATAGCAAAGATAAGACGACAAATAAAAATTTGATGGCATACAAACTTTCTTGCCCCTTGTGAGATTTGAATCAGAGACGAAGTCAGTCAGAATTCAAAAGTGCCATCCTAATTACCATCACGGACGTTTTATCTGTGCTTACAAATGGGTCATGAACCAACATCATAAACACTCCTTTAATAAGCATACAACTGAGTGGTTTATCTTGCTTCTACGCCCTACGTGTTCATTTTAACAGAGTAAGATAAATAAACAAGTCGGTCTAAAGGATGGTTTTAAGTTCTCCTGCCAAAATATACAAAACTCAGCTCAATATTTGTTAATGGCTCGAAGTGAACTAACATCAGCGGCTCATAATAGTGGTTGGACTCTACGAAATAATGTTGAAAAAGCTAGAGACTAGAGTACAAGAACGTCCATCATGCCTGCTGTCGAGAACAAATGAAGTGTGAAAGACGTAGCGTACTTCAATTCGAGTATTTTCCAAATGCATACGCTCTTGATACTCGTATTTTGCATTACAAATTTGTCTCCTTTTTACTGTTTAAAAGTATTGTGGCTTCACAAGACACAGGATTTAAGTAAACTTTGCGTTAAGTAGCGAGTAAAAAATGGAATGAAAGCGACGTTTTCAAACTCTACTCAAAAAGTAAACCTACAATTGAAAGAGATCGTCCATTTGAATCCTGTTCTCCAGACATTCTTTCTTGGAATTACTTTACTAATTCTTTTCACCATTTTATTAAAATCGTTTCACCTCTAAAATGTGGGTAAACTTATACCAGTCTACACGGTGCTTCATAACAGAAGACATCCATCTTCAAACTCACCGTCGTGAAAACTTCAAATCCTACAGAAATAGCTGCAGCTTTCACTGGCTACCAATGTTTTAAACTAGAAAACCCGTTTGCTCGGAAACGATTACCTAGTCGCATAAATTTTGATATGTCCCAACAAGTAGCAAGATACTACGCCGGATTTCCCCAAGTCCACTTGCCATAAAATATATTACAGTAATCAAAAAAACAGGTTTGAAAAGTTCAGGGTCCACCTCATAGAACTGCTCTTTCGTCGTACCTGGATCAGAAATGTGACGCATTTCAAACAGCCAAAAATAATTTTTAAACACGTAGTTGGATTACAGACTTAAATGTCAAAATTCGTGGCAACGTTTCTCGTTTTATGTCCGTCTATCAATTTGTTCTGGTATTTTAATGTTGTTGTTCAGAACTTAACATGGACAAATTATGGTCTTCATCTTAATAGGGAAACCATTATATATCGAATTCAATTTATCATTGAACAATTCATAACATTTACTCAGTCAGTCAAACAATTAATACCTCATGAGTCAATAGGATATTTACGTTGTGTAATTCTTGTCCTGCGATAGGTCTCGAAATGTTACTTAAATTCTTAACATCTCTCGAAAAATATGGTATATAAAATATACGTATATCATAAAAATTGTGAATTAACAAAGGCAGTAACTTCATTGCTTTAATGTTTAATGAAACACGTATCACAGAACGTAGCCTTACTCATGTTTTATAAAATGACTGTTTCGTTTTCGCACGGAGTGCACAAAACAAACATATGTTTCACCTCCGAAAGCATTCAACCGATTTCGAACAAATTTGGAAGTGAGAGTCGACACTGAAATTTGCAGGGCGAGGTTCTGTAAAATAACTATATGGAGCAGTTCTTATTCCAAAACTAAGACAAGCTCAGCTACTAAAGAAGTTCCTCGTCTTTTATGGAACCCAATGATGTGGTGTGAGTCGCCCCTGCTAGGCTAATGTAATTAACAGGATGTTCCTTCATGTTGATGGTCTGTGGTACATGAACCGTAGTATCACCCAGCCAGTAATTTATTGTCTAATTTCCGAAAAAGGTCATGTTGTTCGAGGGAAATATCATGACACTCAGCAGTCCTACACAGACGTCAATGGTTGGCTTTTATACTTACGAATCAACCAATGAATGTTTCTATACGCCGTACTTATGGATAATTATGACCGACGAATATTTTCGTAAGTCTATATAATCTTCAGTTAAACACGAACGCCTTAACCAACACACAGTAAAATAGACTTTTGCAGCAATCCCGGGAGTGTGCAATCGTTTCTTGCATATGAAGACGTCACTTAACAAACACCCAGCACGTGAAGATAATACTTTTTTCAGAACACTACTGTCATACTGGCGCAGTATCCTTGTTTCATAACACCAGAAATTATGTTGTGTAAACAACACAACGCAAAAAATCGTGCGAAGATAAGACCAACAGACACATCAAGACAAGTATTTCACAACTGTCGTCCTGAAGATGTCATCCAAACAATTTCTAATGAATTTCTTTTTGCACGCTGCACACAAATAAACGCATGATAAAGAGGACACCCCTTTCTCTCCGTCCTAAAGTTTAACATGTGAAATTATTTAAGGGATTTTTATGTCTACACCGTAAGCTGTTAGAAAAATTTAGTTTAGATTAAAAATGGTCCAATTTAAGTTATACTCTAAATTAAATTCACACTGAACTGTATTGAGTTTCTCAAAAAAAACTTATTAATTATACCTCAATGGCCTGTTACGTGTCATAAGACACAAACCCTATCGAGGTCTTTCAACAACTACTCAAAACATTCCTTTAGAATGATAAATATTTTTTAAAAAAAAAACGTTTTGACTAAATTTACTGCATGCAGTGTAATACAGGTTAGGTTTGCAATAAAAGATTTGCATGTACGTAAGGACAGCACGTGTAAAAACAGCAAAGAATTCGTAAATAATTCAAGGAATTTCTCAAACATTATCAATAAAATTAGTTTGCACATTCTCACACATACTATAAATAATATCTTGCAATTGTAAAAAAAATAGACATGTTTATGGAAATGCAAATTCACGTACTTACTACTGTGACAGTGCCTATAACTGGATACGAGGTGCGGTTGAATTCCCAACTTGGTCAGTTCTTAATATGCAGACACGAGGCCATTCCAGTAGTTATTAGTGTGGTAAAGCAGTGGGACCGTGGAGAAAACCGACAACTCACCTCCATCGAAGTCGAGGTCTGGAAATGAATGGGTGGGTGTTTCCTATACGTTTTCATGGCGTAATATTCCGGCAATGCAACATATCTCACAAAAATATTCAATATCACGGTATATCCTATTTATTTATGTGTTTTTCTAATTACGCCATGGAAGTTTCCAAAGCGAGGAAATTTAACAAAAGTATTATTTATCTCTAATGAGAACGTAGGCCGACAGTTTCCCAATATCAAAACATACATATATATAATTTATATATTTATTGTATACATATATGTGTGTGTGTGCGCGCGCAGGCGTGTGGCTTTAGTTAACATTCCTTCTAAACTTTGGGAATTAGTCTATAATGTTTCTACTACAGAACGCATAACCTAAATTTCTATATCACAAAGAAGCAACGTGAAATGGAACACTGTATTTTATTTAACCTGGCTTCTTCCATTTACGAATATCGTTAAAATAAACTATTGCCCTTGAATGTTATTTGTACACAAAGTTTTGTTCTGTGATCTAAACAAAGATACTTTGTCTCTCTCATGGAATTGTGTAAACCTAGAGCACTTATGTCCTTTGAACAGCACGGCGTAAGGTCCCTAAGTAATTTAATAAACAGGGTAAACTTAAAATATCCTACATATCATGAAGGTACACGAAGTCAACACGCAACGTTAGCCATTCGTAGTCAGTTTTGCGGGAAAATGGATCAATAACTCCGGTTTTCTAACAGTTGTGAGACACATGAGGGTATAATGGATAACGTTTCGCCTGAGGGAACATCGTGTTTTTCAGTTGGCAACCTCTGGGACATGCGGGCTTGCGGCTTTATTGAACTCATTCCAAACTTTGTTATTTCGATCTTTGACGTCACATTATGTACGCTAACATGGACGTTTGGGGGCGAAACATTTAATTCGTCTGGAAGAGTATTTTGGCGGAATGCCTACGGCGTAAGTAATTGAATATTTGTAAACAACTTGCCGAATTTAACTGAAAATTACTGAATTCTACAAAAATAATTCGCAGCTGAATTAAATTACAGGTTTTGAAAAAGGTTTAGAAGGTGCCAAGCTTCGACAGCGTAAATTCAAAATATCAGAGACGTGAGAAAGTGGGACCAAGTGTTCTAGTCGTCTCGATTTTAAATGATTCTTGAGCAACTATTACTTAACGACAGATCAAGGGTACAGGAAAGAGGAAAACTTATAAATGGAAGAGGAGGCCTAAGATAAACGTAAAAACAGTATAGAGGAAGTGAAATACAATAAAGGAAACAGGAGATGACTAAATATAAACAGAAATGATAAAATCTGGGCAACCAAGAGGCTATCAGTGTTTTTAGAGTACTAAGAAATATAGATAAGAAGAATAATGTCAAATGGCTGAAGAAAATGTCTAATCATCCTAAGATATAAGAAAGGAGTTAAAAATGCAAAGAGAGATTACATGTTTAAAAACTGACAGAAGAACACTTTGGTTTCAGAGACAACAAAACAATGAAAGATTTAATTTCCATAATTGTAGAGATATTAAAGAAAGTTAGGAATTTGGCAGAGACATGTTTAAGTTTCATTGAAATTTAAAATGTACATGCCAATATAAACAGACAGTACATTTGGAAAGTGTTACACATTGCAAATAAATGTCAGGGATTAATACAATAATAATGGAAACTTATGACAGATATGAAAGCAGTGTGGCGTTTTGTCTCCTACGCTGTTTAACAAGCTAATGGATGAGGCGAGACTAGAGTACCAATACTTATGGTATACACAAATGAAATTTTTAATGTTTAAAGATTCTAGATTAAATGGCAGTTTAGATAAATGGTGGTTACGAAAATAAGCCAGAAGACAGGGGCACGGAATAGATAAAATGTGATAATCGTGAAGGAAAAAACTGGAGAGCTTCGAAGTGTTTAGATGTTAAAAAATTATTATCTGTAGCGTTAAAGACGACATTAGAAAGAATAAAAATGCAGGAATCTGCAACCAATTAGCGAGAGACATACTCTGGAAATGGGAAAAGCCTACAAAGAAGCAGAAAATGTGCCTGTATAAGAGTTACCGCACGCCCACATTAACACATGGAGCAGAAACTTTGACATGGACAAAAGACAGATATTAGTAGGCTAATGGCAGCAGAGATCAGACTTTTAAGGAATGCAGAATGAAAAACTGGAAGGGACACAATATTAAAAAAAGTCTTTAAAAGTCTTTTTTGCTTGTGAGCGACAGAAAAGAATAACGCATATCAGTTCACCGTGACTACCTGATTTCTTTCAGGAAAGACAGCCTGTGGGACATTGCTGTTAGAATCAGCAATGAACAACAAAACACACAGCCTTCATCAGGAAGTCAGCCAAAAGAGAGGACTGTACTCATATTGGGAAGTAAGGGTGTTGTAAGTACTATACTGTATTCACAGTTAATTGGTTTATGCTACTATTTGCAGATACAATGCTAAAAATATACATTTTATTTGGGCTTTAATTTTACGGTGTGAAATAATTGGATAATTAACTCTGTCGCTCCATTTATGTTCACGTCTTCCAAGTTGTCTCATTCCTTCTGGTTTTCCAACCAGAATTTCTTATGCATTTTTCTTTTGTCCACATTACATATGGGCCTGATTATATTTTTGGGGGTATCTCAATAAACATTTACTTGAAATAAAAATTTCTTGAACAAACATAGGGATCCATAAAACACACATTTAATTTTATGAAATATTTTCATAAAACTAAAGAAAAATACTAGTAAGCTAAAGATACAGGTGAGAGGTTGTTCAGTATCATAGTAAGACCTTGCAAAATATCTTTTGCAGGGAAAAACATCACTGATCCATAGATTCCTGGATCGAAATGAAGGCGCTAAACAGACCCTTGCTCTGGAATACACTTTTGGAAGAAGAGCTGGGAAAAGTTTGGTAAACTATGAATTAAAGAGAAAATTAAAATATTATTCTGATCATGCCGCATATACTTCAGGAAACAGTCATCATTGACAATAGATGTTCTGAAGATGTCTGTCTTCTGGGTTGTAATGCCACGTAATCCGGTAGAAACTGACCGACATTTCAGGGGTTCTTGCTCACCCTGATGATGGAAGCAGCAAGTACCTCTGAAATGTTAAAAACTTCTGCCAGACTACATAGCATCACAACTCAGAAGACAGCCATCTTCATACTTGTGACTGTGAGAACCTGAAATCCTAATAGATGTTCTGTTGTGAACCAGGTGAAGGACATATGTCACATTTGGGAACTTGGCGGCGGGACTCTATACCCCAGCCTGCTTACGGCACCATTGGCAGCTGCCTCAAATGATCTAAGTCACCTCACGGTGATCCTCATGTTGGACCTGGCTGTTCCACAGCAACTGTGGTTCACGCTGGAAACACTGATACAAAATTTGCACGCGGCTTTGAGGAAACAAGCGTCTGCTCTATCAGGAAAGGATGCAGGACAATTCATTCAGAAGCTTCAAGAAGAAGCCTGGAAAAGAGTTGGCAGAGAAAATGAGGTAAAAGCCGTCGGTCTTAGGCCTCTGGGTTGTAGCAGTGTGTGGACTTGTATGTTTCAGAGGAGCATGCTGCCTCCATCTTCAGCCCTGAAGGTCTTATAATTTTCACTCTTCATCAAATAACATTAGGATGACCATATGAATAATTATGAGATGGGTAGGGCATGTAGCATGCTTGAACAAGATGAGAAATTCCTATAATATTTTAACTGGAAAACTTGATGAAGAGACTAGTTTGGAGATCCAGGCATAGATAGGAATAGAATATTAAAACACGTCTGTATAAATAGGATGTGGACTGAATTCATCTACCCCAGTACACAAAAATATATTAATAAAGTGATTCAGTGTATGTAATTCTACTAAAGATTTTCTATTCCAGGACAAAGAGTACATGGATCCCTTCCCAGTTCCCCTTGTTATTTTGGGTGGAAAATACGATATATTTCAGGTATGTCTGTAGCTAGGTACTACGTTTTTGCATATAAGACAGTATTTATAAGATTATTCTTGGCTATCCTCCGGATATTGAAATCAGGATTTATGTGCATACAGACACTATTATGTACAAGATTAAGGATTAAAGATTAATATATCAGCAATTGAAAATTACTGGCAACACTGCAGATATCTATTCTTATGTCAGCAGTGAACAGCAAATATGACAGACTATGGCAAATCCAATTTAATTTAATCCTGTTACAGGATTTTGATTCAGAGAAGAAGAAAGTTGTCTGTCGCTGTTTGAGGTATGTAGCGCACACGCTGGGAGCAACTCTGCAGTTCTACAGCTTAAAGGACTCTGGACTTGTCAAGAAAGCAAAAGACCTACTGAACCACCATGGATTTGGAGCACCTCCAGGGTAAGTAATGTTAATATGAATGAAGCTCATAAAGCCAGCGAGCTACTCGCTAACAGAGACAAGTTATTGAGCATACCTGAGAAAATGTGTCGACAAAGCTTAAATTTTATTAACAGGTATACCATGTGTACCAAACTGAACATTGTGGTGCGTTACAAAGCTGAAGAAGTACAAACTGTTCATAATTGTTGTCATAAAGGGAAAATATGATTGATACCTCTAGTGAAGTATGTGGAAAAATGACAGCTGCGTAGAAGAAATACATCTTTCTATAATAATGGTACTGCTTATTTACATTTGTTCGGAAAGTATATATATATGGAATCAGAATTGGAGTAAACCTGTCCACTGTTAATGTTACTTCTCGCAAAATTTATCAGTCTTATTTATTAAACCAAGTACATTCCAAGTAATTATTTTCATGTTGTCCGGACGTCAGTGTACTGGTCAGACCTTCAAGTACCACAGTAAGGGTTTATCAGTATTTATTCCATGAGAAAGTAACACTCCCTCCAAACACATACCACAACACGAGAGGCCATACTAACGACCCCTTCGCCAACTACTCGTAATTCCTGGGCTATCACAGCTACACGAGTTCAGGAAGTCCCCATAATACTTTGCCTCGTTACTGCCAATCTTCCAGAACAAAGACATGGTGGTAGATTTTTGGAGGTATAAACATTTGTACCTTTCAGAAAAAGCATATCTCAAGACTACAACAAACCACTGCTGATACCTGCTGGCTCAGATTCAAATCAACAGATTGGAGGTTTAGGAGCAACAAGAACAGGAACTATCAGTAAGGGGCCTGGAGCTGCAATAGACAGATGGAAACATATATTCACCACTCATTTTCCCCAGGTTACTATATTTCACAAGTACTCAGTAATTAACAGGCAACACTAATATAATCTGACTGATATTTGAGCAACCCATTATTTGTGCTTGTAGAAATCAAACTTCGATCAATACATGGAGATACCAATGCTCTTATACCACTGAGAACATATTTAAAGGAAATTTAACAGTTAATTATTCATTAAATTATTAAATCATAATCATACACAGTGAAAAGAAAATAAACATTAAATTACTTGTATTTGTTTAATAAAACCATTACAAAAGTTAAAGTTGTATGTTTTCAGCTTCCTTCTGGTGACTACAAAAGCTATTTTAACTGAAATCCCTTCATTAAACAGGAAACATCTGAAAAATCTGTAATGCCTGAGGATCCTGCCAAAGATCTAAATTTTCAGGAGCCAATCATTGACTCCCTACGAGCACAGAAGGATGACGTAAGTAAAATTTATATGTTATAAATACTCCACTTAAGATGATAATCACCTGACTAACATTTCTTAAAAACCAAAATGAATGAGATGTGTATCACAGACATGAACTAAATGATTGACATAAAATCCTTAAAAGAAAAAGGCCACTAATAATTTAGAACTAGATTGTTATAAATTGAAAGCTTTCTACACAAAAAAAGTGATTATAGTACAAAATTTTAAGCAAATGAGGAGAATGTTACAGAATACTTATTGCCATCCCTCTCAGTTTCTTATTAATGCTTGTGTTATTAATTTTTCAGGAACTGGAAAGGTATCGACAGATAGCTGAAAGAAGACGTCATTTCCAAATTGATACTGATGACATATAATATAACTTGTACGGTTCTGTAATTATTTTATACTTAAATACTTTCTGTTGTTCATTGATATAATCATATAAGTAAATTTACTTACTTTCTCATACTACCAAAGTTCTGGCAGAACAGATTATGGTTACGTTCTAATAAAGACTGGTATATTAAATGGGAAGAAAGTAAAATTGTGTTCACACAACATGCACGTATGTCATACATACATTTTTTTCAAAATAAACTCCACGTATTAATGAATGGTGAAATCTATCAAAATATTACTACTACTCCGTAGCACTACAGCCCTTTTGTAGGGCCTTAGCCTTCTATCAAAACATTAACTGGTTAAAATAAAGAATTATATATTTACAAATGATAATCCTACTTACTAGAATACAAATTCGGTTTCACATGTAGATAATGGTCACTCAGCCACCGACTCAGAAATTCCTTATCCACATTTGCTGTTGCTATTAGTAGTAATTGCCAATGGCCAAAGCAAACGCCTTCATCTTGACTGCTGTGGCATATTTAACATATCTTGATCCATTCCTCTTTCACAACAAAATACACCACATTTCCAAGCGTTAAAGTACGGATAACTGCTTCGCGAACCAGTTCATCAAACCTACCGCCCAAAAGTAGGTTACTTATGGCTAACACAGAAAAGCCTAGTTATCCGCGAAGCTGAATGAAACTCAAGTGTTGGTCATCTGTGGAATTCCGTACATAATTTTCATTGGTAATATTCGTTATTCATAACGAATAAATAAGAGGCATATTTTTACCAGCAACGGTGAAACGATGGAATCGCAGAATTCAATTGCATTGCAGAAAATTTTAATTCTTGCCAACTCCGATGACTTTGGCTACATCACCCATACTTTTATGCAATCTAGTGAGAATATCCATTACTAAAATGAACGCTTCAGAAATCAGATCCTCTATCACAGACGTCTTTTATCATGAATAAAATTCCTGTATTACCACATCCGTGGCTCGGTGGTGACGTAATGAAAGCCTTCGTTCCTTCTGGACGCGCCCGTAACCTTGCAGAGCGTTTACTTAAAATAGTATCGTACATCCGTAGACACGAAAAACTTGGTTACGGAACTGATATTTTTAACAACTTTACAAAATAACCCAAAATTTGTTACAGATATCTCGGTATGACTGCATGGTTACTTGGGGCAGGGAATCTTTAGTGCCAGTGCCATTACCAAGACACCCTGCCCAATGGTCATTCAGTAACCCATACAAGTCACATCCCTAGCACCATTCAAATGTTAAGGGTAAAGTTGTGGCAAACACCCCAGAACTGTTACACTTAACATACAGTTCCTAGCTCGTTTTAATTTTCACTCACAGCAAAAATTCAGTAAAGTACCACACTGTTAAAGTCTGCATATTTATTTTATTCCTATTGAAAAGTTAAATTGCATATTAATGGATTATAAATATACCATTAATTGCACAAGGTTTATATGGCTGGACTTTTGAGAAATATGAATGTAAGCTTCATGGATTTAAGCCTATAACTCTTGTTGCGATATGTAACTTACCACCTCCATAGTTTCCTTCTACAATATATCATTCCACACACAGCAAGTCCCCCTTGGATCATTTCCTTACATAAAGCATTTATCCTACATTCCTACCAATTAGCAAATTATAACTTTTAGTTCATTACCATTGTTCTGTTATGTATACTTAATGGAGTAACACAAATGCATAAAACAGCATTAGATTTAAATTACAGGTCACGCCAACACGGTTACCGATTTCATGAAAAGTTCGCCCACCCATATAATTATCCGTAATTACAATTAGTCACCTCTACCAACGATTTTATATTATAAATAATGAGCTTTGCTTCAGGATACAGCAATTCTGAACTTTCAATCTATACTTTCACTAACTTTGATGCACATTACCATATTAGGAGGTTAAGTAAAAAACTAATACTATTCATATACTGTTAGGATCATTATTATTTCCAATGCCTTTACCAATTCATACTTGCACATTACTACATCATTTGCATGAGATGTCATTTCTCTGCTCCAATTCTTGATATGGTCGGGCTGTACAGAAAATTATACAAAGATACTACGACTGAAATACATACAAAATTGTGACAATAAACCATACTTTCAAAAGACAACAAATAAGTACTTCATGTAACACAAATGTTCTTATAGTGTGATTTTAAACATATAAAAGTTTATAATTTAGAATACAAGGAATAAGGTACGAAAGGTCGACAGGCATAAGATGAAGAAAACATAACAGTGAATTTCCTGCCTCAGGAAATGATGTTTGGAGAAGTGATCAATTCAAATACATGAGCTCCAAGCATCATTGAAAGAACATAACACCAATTCAAAATATACAATCAAACACCACACCTTAAATATCAGTCTTCTCTGCTGCAGCCTTTTGATAAATCCCTTTTCATCAAAAGAAACAGTTTTTATTTTTGTAGTTTGTTAGAACCCCACTGCAAAGTGGCAACTGTAACTTAATTAATATACATTCCTGAAAAAAAATCCCTTATCTTGTTATATACATATAAGGTAAGTGTCCTTTCAACATTGTAATCTACAGGAATCAATCACAAGAATAGTATATGTATTTCATAAATATTGCATTTTCTGAATGGTTTGTACTTATGATTTCTTGTGCTTTAACATCTAGAGCATCATTAAGTACTCCCTATGGATGAAGGGAAAACAGTTATTTAGACCCAGCTTCAGCATAAATTATGCTGTTTGGTGTTTCATATTAGCAGCACAGCCCAGCAATGCAAAAGTAATTCATTCTGTACTGCACACTGCCAGGGCATGAAAGAGAACTGAAAAATATCTGGTAAACTACACTTGATTCTATATCAGCCTGCTCATTTCCTTTGGTGTTTAACATGTTTATAATAGATTCTATATTCTTTATTTCCATACTGGCATTTTAAAGAGAGCAGAATATCTGAATTCCTGACTTAATGGTACCTGCAGCTTGTCTTGGTGGTGGGGCTTGAGTACCTCAGTGACCCCAAGAGCTACTGGTAGGGCCTCCCTAGCCAGATTGGTCGAGGGGGAGAGATCAGACTAAGACAGGTACCCTGGTCCTCCAGGTTGGAGGTTGGTCGCAAGGCTAACAACCTTGCACCGTGAAAAGGAATATGTTTCGAAACCTCAATCAAAGCCTCGGACAGACGGACCTAACAGAGGACCGAATGGAAGAGAATTGAGGAGGCCATGGACTGAATACAGACTGGAGAGCCATAGAAGATGATATCTGAATTTCTCTTGGTAGTCAACTGGGTTGTGACAATGTGTGGACATGGCGATGGACACCAGCATTTTGGAGGAACATACTTCAGTCCTGAAGATGGAGATAGTATGTTCTTCTAAAATGTTGGTACCCATCTACAAGTTCACATGGGATCACAAACCCAGACCATCATTGATAATAATTTAAATTTTCTTCTTTCATGGATAAATGACATGGTCTGGTACCATCAGTTCAGATGTAATGGCTCCTTTCGGTCTGCATTCCAAAATCATTCAACTCTGCAAGGTTTCAGATCTAATGTCGGTATATGACTCATTTTTACATTTCAGTGGCGGATTAGAGAGGGGGAAAGATAAGTGTTACACAGGGGTGGATCTACTTCTAATTTCATTTTTGTGCCATGGTACAAAACTGTTTTGGGTTGTGTTTTGCATTGTATTCCCTGTATTACTGAATGCAGATATGCTATAGTGTCTGAAGCCGTTGTCAATTACGTACAGTTACTGTGCAAGGTTATATCTGGTGCATTAAGAGATCTCCAAAGAATACGAAAGTTCATTAAGGTAACTTCTTTAGTACAATTTTAAACAGCACATAGTACCTGTGTGAAATGCCCCCTCTTTTTTTTTTTTGTTTGTTTGTTTGTTTGTTTGTTTGTTTGTTGTTGATATCTAATGGCCCATTAGAACTCAGCATGTAAACAGATCACAAGCACAGCTTTCAAATGTCATGCGAATCATTTCTTACAAGTTAAAAATAATAAATATAGTGATGCTGCAAATCTTTGAGGCTAATCAAGCAAATTTAATATAAATGGAATCTGTAATAGCAAAAATTATGAACAGAAATTATCTCTAAATTTTAATTATTATTTTATATAAGTCTTCAAGCATTCACAGCAATTTGTAGCTAAGTGTATTTCCATTTTTGGCAGTTGGTAGTCTGTACATTGGTATGATGACATTTCAGAGATCATGTCTATTCATCATCACAATACGGACTAAAGCATTTGAAAGAAAGTAAGCACCGTAGGTTCTTTTCAGTTCTTCCTTGTCAGTAATTCATTATTACAATTACAAAATAAAGAGATTTCACTGTAGAAAAAATTATGCAAGAACTACTACTATGTATCAGAATATGCGTTTGCAATGACAGCCTGCAGCAAAGGTTTCAAAGATGGGAAAATGTTAAACACCCTGCTTCTTTTACTCTCACCGTGTATTGATGATAACTATAATACCAGTTATTTTCCATTCATTCTCACAGAAATTCAATGAGAAATTTTCCACCTCCAAACGTACAGCCTTCAGAACTGTAACCTACGTTTATATACCTGTGAAAAAATCACTTGTATGAATGGTGAAGAAAATATTTTTTTAACTTCGAATAAAGTTCAAGTAACACGAAATGACAATATACAGCACATTGCATATGACATTTTATTATGCAATTAAGAACCCTTGAGCTATAAGCATAGTGATGGATTGAAAGTACGAAGTACCAGAATCACCAAGAAAGTATGTTTCCAAATATACTTATTTTAAAAACATCAGATTTCCATTCAATCACAGTGCAGTTCACACTCAGAGCAAACATCATTTTAAAAAACTGAAGTAGTTTCTTTGTTATAAACAATTAAACATGATAGCAACAAGGATGAACACTACCTCCAAGTATAAGGAATAAGACATTTTTGAAAATATGTTCAAATAATAGCTATTTTTCTATCTGCAACAGAAATAACGAGTTCTTCCCAAATCTTGCATTTTTACGGTCATAAGTTTAAAACCAGTACTGTCAAGAAATGGTTTATCATAATTAAAACATCTATAAAACAGTACCTGTTTGTAAATACACGAACATGTATTTCGAAAGCACCTTTTCATTAACGTCTAAAACCAAGAAACATAATCAATATCTAATAGCTTTTTATTTAAGTATTTTTATTTTTGTGCTTAAATGCTGTCTGTCGCTTTGTATCAAGTTCTTTAATATGTATGCGTGTGTGTGTGTATATATATTTATATATATAGGGATATTTTCAATATCATTTGAACAAAAAGATTAACACCCAACACCAACACTGTCAATATACAAAACATTTGCATGCTACAGTTTTCGGACTCCACACGCACGCCACAGCATTCATTCTCATGAAGCGACTATATACTTACACATACATACATACTTACTATAACAGTCGCTGGCATCGACAGAGGGCAAACAGCAATGCGTAAGTACCAAACTGATAGTTAACTCACGACAAACAACGCAGATTTCTTTTCTATGTCGTTTCATTAGCTTCATGTTCTCATTCAGTCAGCAGAAATTAGTCACACCTTCAGTTTTTCTTAATGTGTCAGTGGCCTCTAAAATATGCCTTTTATAATATATTCTTTCTTCATAATTAAGTAACACAGCGCTTTTAAAAATATTCTGTTAAATGCACCACAAATAGTGATAACAAACATGCATAGGATCAATTTTAAAGTACTTTTTCCACTATGTACTCGTAATGAGCCAGTAAAGCACTGCGATGAATAGAACTCACCACATGTACGTGATCTGTCTTAAATCTACACAACAACATGGAATATGGAACTTTTGCTATCATCGTCCGCCATTTTAACTACCGAGCACGAATTCCTTTTCGGTACCAAGGACATGAATTCTAGTAACATATAACTTTTGCAATATGTTTACTCTAAAATAAATGGACATGTAAATGTTAAGAGCATAGTACACTGTGCTCTTCGTTAGTAACATTTTGCAGACATATTAATTGCTGAATTTTCTACAACTGGCTCACCTATAGTAACTACCGTTACATAATACTTTCGCTGCAGATCTAAATTATCTGAATATATTCAATATGAACATATAATTCAACACACAATTTCATCAAAATTGAAAATGCTTTCAAACTAACACTGTATTTGAATATACTGTATATAGGTTTAATATATATATATAAACCTTTACATATTACTACGGCTAAAAGATCGATTTAAAAATAAGAAAAGCGAAAGAGAAAAACAAACTGTAACCTGTCTCTGCAATATGTGTATGTAATATATATGTGTATATCTCTCCCTACCAGATTTTATGTTTAACAGAATTCATGTCCCCTGTAAGTGCCCAATTTCTAATGCACAATGCTACACAGCGCACAGAAATAAATCTTCACTGTGGGTTCTGAAATATATTTCCAGTATTTACGTTTATTATCATATCCATTTATCACATATGCACTTCAAAAGTCTTAATAGTAGTACTATTAATGAAAGGATTGGTGCTGTTTCCCGTCACTGTTTGACCAGCCTCTTGATGATTTCTGGCTGCGATAGCTGCCCACTCTGCATCAAATGGGTCATGTGTCACAGGCACCTGACCATTAGCATTGTGAGCACTTGCCCATGTGGACTGTTGCTGCTGCATACCATTCATGTGCTGTGAAGCGACTGAAGAACCAGAACGATGCGTGAGGAACGTTTCTGCAGAGCCTAGCGAGTGAGCGCGGAGATGCTGAGAAAGATACGGGGCTCGTCTCGGAGAAGGTGAAGGTGAGTTCGGTAAGGCCGGTCGAGTGCCTGCACTAGCGCCAGTAGTCGAGGTAACAACGTTCCCTAACCACTGCTCTGGTTTCGGAAGCTCGCTACTTGCAAAAACAGATGTTACAGGGGCAGATGGTCCCGAATAGCTGGAAAATTAAACATTTATCGCATGGAACAATTATGGAAGAATGCGTATTACTGCAGTTATTCTGATGATAACGGTGACTGCTTCTAATTTCTATTTTAGAGGCAACCAAGACTGAACCATAATCTCTCCCAAAAGAATTTATGCATAACAATCACATAAGAAACAAATCTAATACAATTGTGAATTTTGTCCCCCACAGCAATTACACTACACAGAGTAAATTTTCAATGCATTCAAACTGTTTTTGTTATGCAATTCCACACAAATGTTATACATGCTTATCTGAAAATATCAGTCTTGCCTTATTCCATACCCTCATTTCTGAATATAACTGTACTACATACAGTGTATTTTCAAAGGCCGTAGAAATCACATGAGGAGACTAAATTCCGGTAATGCTTGCTACTTCTCAGTTCAAAATATTTTGTCTTCCCGTCTGATTTCTAAGAACCTGAAAATTAAAGTACACAAAACAATAATTTTGCCTGTTGTTTTGTATGGGTGCGAAACACGGTCTCTCACTCAGAGAGAGGGAAAAAAAAAGGATGGAGGTGTTTGAGAATAGGGTATTGAGGAGGATATTTGGGCCTAGGAAAGAAGATGATGGGGCATGAAGAAACTGCATAATGTCAAACTTAAAAATCTGTACTCCTCCCCCAATATTGTCAGAATGATGAAGTCGAGAAGAATGAAATGGGCGGGGCATGTAGCGCGCATGGATGGGACAAGAGGTGTGCACCGGGTATTGGTCGGGAAGCCTGAGGGGAAGAGACCGCTGGGGAGACCTAGACGTAGATGGGAGGATAATGTCAGGCAGGATCTATGGGGGATAGGAGTTGAAGGAGACCGGATTTTGTTGTCCAGGTTCGGTAAGCCATATAGTTAGTTGGGGAGACCTAGACATAGATGGGAGGATAGTATCAAGCATGAACTGTGGGAGATAGTAGTTGAAGGAGACTGGACTTTGTTTGCCCAGGACAGGGTCTGGTGGAGGGCTTTTTAATTAATTCGGTGATGAACCTTTGGATTCTGTAAGCCATTTAGTTAGTTAGTTGATTTTGGAAGTCTGTATGACTCTTAAAGTTGTAGGAAAAAGTCCAGTTCATTCAGGTGTGGAACTGGCAATAATCAGATGGTTAATGCACAGCTTACACAGCAGTAATGATATATTTCCATACTAAGTGCTTCAAAAGAATTATAAGCTTGTATAGCTCACCCTGTACTTGCAGGTGGTGGTGTGGGTGTGGAGTGAGGTGGTAGCACAGGCGAACTCCATGGCACCCTGTTGTTGAGAATGTTTGGTGAAGCTGTGGGGCTGCTGCTGGATGGAACTGTGGAACCACTGTTCCCAATCCATGGGTTTGTAGCGGTGGCAGCAATACTGTTATTATTGTTATTGTGATACTTGACAGCATCCAATGGGACAGCAGATGGCACAGTACCACTAGATGTAGATGCTGGAAAAAATCCCAAACATGAAAATAACCTGTCAAAATTAAATTTCAGACAGATCAGGAGTAAATAATAACAACGTATCACTTTTCGTATTTCTTCTCCTACATCTTCTGACCTTCAAATCAATACAGTGTTAGAAAATATTATTTGTAAAAATAATGTTCTCATCACCTGAGAAGGAACTGAACATTTATAGGATTTGAGGTTTTCACAGCGGTGAGTATGAAGATTTCTGTCTTCTGGGTTGTTGCGCTGTGTAGTCTGGTCGATGTTAACCAACATGTCAGAGGTCATACTGCCTCCGTCACCAGGGCGATGATTGTAACCTTAATACAAGCAACAGAAGTTGCAACTATTTATTACTGACCTGGTATTGTTTGCGTTTTGTTGGAAGTGGAAAACAGCTGTTTTGCCACTTTGTTTGCAGATGACATTCCACTTGATGTAGTAGTTACCTGGAGTAAACAAATTAATATCAAAAGACAGCTGATATCTCTTAAAATTATAAAACACACACAAACAGTGGATTTAAAGAAAAGTCAGGTCATTTATGGGAAAAATTTCATGTGGCTATTAACTGTTCATATACTTCTGATTTATGACCTCTGATCTCACAGTCCACTGGCCCTGCATTATAAGTTCTGTGCATATTCACCGAGAACTACCGACAGTGTGACCTACCTGTCGAGGAATATCCGTTAGAAAATCATCATTGGATGACAGAAGCGATAGACCTTGAGATAACTGTTGACACATGGCACTCACAGAATCTCCTCCTCTGTCGCTTAATGGAGATGATTCAGGAATCGGACTCACTACAGAATAAAAAAAATAAACAATGGGGTAAAATTTTAAATTTTCTAGATGCAGGAGGAAAAATAAAAGACATCTACATAAAAAGGAAAATCCATACGTAATGACAAATCCTGTTGTTTATTACCATAGCCTTCTAAAGTATGTTTACTTTGTGTTTTTCTGTGATCATACATGAACCATCTATTTATAAAAATATATGTCCATCTTATGCCTAAAATTATTGCATAATTTAACTACAGTAACTATCTCATACATGCATAGTATTTCTGTGTCCCTGTAGCAATACAAGTCAATGTAATTATGTACTTTGGTGTGAAACTGGAAACATTGCGACAAGGACATTTAAAAAAGTGGAAGGAGCTTCAAATGTGATGGATAGATCATTAATCTCTTACTTAAAATGGTAAAGGTTTAAATATATGATTCATAGTAACTAAAAGAATGGGCTGTAATTCACATTTCAAAACAGAGAATATTACAATAATAACAGTATTTCAACTAATTCTTTATAT